CTGAAGGCGGTGTGGAAGAGCATCAAGCTTCCTGTGCCACGTTGCCCTCAACTTCTCCAAAGCCACTTCAATGAGGGCTTGCCCTTCTCCTCACCCATGAGAGTGCTGATAAATAAAGGAAGCTATTAACATCCACTTGGATATGTTCAGTGTCTCCCAGGCACCACGAGCGATCATGCATGGCAGGAGGATGGAGGTGGCAGTGCCTTGATGTTGCTCCTGCCTCACCTTGCTGGCTGGCTGTCTACTCTCACCCTCTCAAGACTTCCCATTTTGTCATCCAGAGAGTTTTGACCTCAGGAATGGAACAACCTAACTTTTCTCTTGAATGCTTCCAAGTATAAAGCAGCTCACAGGATGGGCAAGCACCATTCCTCCTGCTTTTCACTGCGGTCTTCCCACAGATTTTGTATTGTGGGAGAGCTCTACTTGACTGGGCTGCTCATCCCCTGATTTCAGGCTAGAAGATCATTTGCAATCTGCTCTGCTGACTCGCCATGCCTATGCAATATCACCCTAATGCATACCTACTCCACTGAATACCAAGTACCCTTTAGATAGGCAGTAATATCCCCTGGCTCTCTCCATGATACACATATCAGCTCAAATTTGGGGAATGCTTCAGGAGATGTGTTCATCAACTGCTTGAATAAATCACCCTATGGAGATGATATATTTACCCCCTTTTCTTGAATGCATTGCTTTTCAATATATAATACTGTTTGCACAATAATCTTTCACCTGGCACAGCCAGCCTCTATACAGAGGTGCTCCTGTGGCACTTCGCATTTGATGCTGGATGCCATTGAATCAATATACAGCACGTTAAGCAAGGAAACAACATTTCCCCCAGTGGAAAGCTGTACGTGTTAATCAGCACCAGCCCCATGTGGACCAGTTTGGTCTCAGGGAAGGGACACGGGTTGGCTCCCTCAAACCTTTGGCATTCCAGAAGCGATGCCAAATTTCCTCAAGGTGCTGCAACAAAGATCCTTCCCATGGTGGTTTAGGGACAGGGGGACGCGGAAGGGCCTGGATTTAAGCCTTGCAGAACTTTACCCTTAGGGTGTGAATGAGCTTCCCAGGGGGTTCATTTGGAGCAGGTTTCTGCCTGCCAAGTGCTGCCAGCCGTATGTGAGCAGTGAAAGGCAGGAGCTCAGGCCAGGGAGCCTCTAGGTGTCACTGCCATGCAGCAGAAATGGACCCCAGTGCCAGAGCAGGATGGGGACACCAAGCCCAGGCACAGCTGGGGCACAGCTGGCGGCAGGCACCCAGGGCCCATGGAGGGCAGTGGGAAACCTACCCTGCAAAGGCTGGTGCACTCACAGTCTGCCTGAGCAACCCATTCCCCAGGGCTGAAAAGGTGCTGCTGTTGTAGGACTGGGAGCAAGGAGCGTAGGCAGGGATTGCAGGGTGAGGCATTTCAGGTAAGGAATTGCCAGGAAATAGTAAAGCACTTCAGTTCCAGCCATGTGGCAAAGAGATCCTAGAGACAAGAGCTAAGGCTAAGCACAATAAGGCCACTTACAGCTGGTATCAATCCCCTACCCCCAGCCAAGACATGGTCCCAGTATATGCCTGCTGAGCCACCTAAACACAGGGTTCACTCCTGATGGATTTCCATCTGCCTCCCTGAATTTGCAGTACTGGGAGAAGGACAGGTATATCTCATTTGGGAAAGGGTCACCATCTCACTTATGGCAGCAGCAAGAGCCGAGGGCTTCCAGGCTTGCAGGCATCCCTCCACACGGGAATACAGGTCCCTTACTCTTGCATCCTTACCTGAGAGATGCCTGTGACTCTGCAGCCCATGTGGTGCCATGGCATGGCTGGTCCTGGCTTCAAGAACTGCACTGCATTAGGAAACAAACATAGAGACCATTAGTGCACACCTTAAGGTGCATGAGCCAGTGGGCTGCTCACAGCTGGGACAGGCTCACTGCAGCATGGGCATCAAAACCACAGACTCTGAGGCTTCTGGGAATGCTGCATGCTGGGGATGCTCTGGGAACATCCCAGCTTAGCACTGGGAGAATGCTCTGGGAACATCTCCATCCATCCTGAGATGACCTGGGGATCATTTCTGCCAGGCACACGCCAGATGTGGGGCCTCTGTGTCTCAGGGGAAGGGCAGTAACAGCAGGGCTTCAACATCTACATCCAGGGGCTGTGTTTGCAAGGTCAGCTGTCACCACTTCTGCACCAAAGTCCTTCTAATGCGAATGGTTGTCTCAGACCCTACCTAATTTCATCAGCTCTTTATCCCATCTTCAACGCTAGGGAGTTCAGAATCAGTAATCTCATCTGCTTCATCTTCTGCTTCTTTATGTTGCCAGCTTCTCAGCCTCTTGAGGGTTTTAGCATCATCAGGATTCAAAAATAAAACATTTGTTCAAGGTCCTTCTCTTCAATTTCTAATAGGAGATCCTCTCAGGGCTTTTCAGATTTGTCCCTGAGGACTGGAAACTGATTTTAATTCAAAAAGTTGGAGATGGTATTATCATAATTGCATGAATCCCAGAGCTTTCACAAGTGTGAGAAACCTCATGGGGACCGCACTAACATTTCAGAGCTGGCAAACACGGAGTAAGGTACACAGAGGACTGTGCACAGAAGAATTCAACAGGGGCCCCATCCCCATAAAGTTTGCCTTCACAACTTAATCACACAAAGATGAGATGCAGAAGTTATCCCTCTTTACCTAACACCCCACTGATCTGAGCTGCTTTTGTTTTTAATGTTAGGCCCTGTGTTTGTCAAATGTATTAAGCTTCTTGTTGGCTTTGGAAATAACAGTCACTGCTGCAGATTGGCCAAATCATTGTTTTTCTCCTTATTGACCCAACATTTCTTTTTTCCAGGCTACCAAACACCCTTGACTTTGCTTGTGGGATGGTTAATCAACAAGTCTGTCACAATGATGGATTCCTCCTGAATTGTTGCTTAATTAGCTTGGTTGGAAGTATAAATCAAGTGGGATACCAATTCTTCTAATGCTACAGACAGGCAGCCACACTCAGCTTGACAGCAGTGAGTTATAACTTTCTGCCCCAGTGCAGGATCAGCATGCAGGCACCAGCCTGCAAGCCCAAAGGGGCCTTAGGCTCATCTTGGAGAGCAATGGCATGCACAGACCACACACACCAGAGTGAAAGGTTGGTGTGATGGAGGTTGGTGACCAGCTGCAGGGGCTCTGTACATGGGCATACACACACCCCTTGCATGATATGAGCCACATCCCCGTCGTCTGCCCATGGGGAGACAAGTTTTATATCGCCTGGGATGCCTGGTGTCTGCTGCTAACAAGATTAGAGACAAGGGCTGGAGAACCAATCCTGTGAAGAAAGGCTGTGAGAGTTGGGTTTGTTCAGCCTGGAGAAGAGAAGGCTCCAGGGAGACCTTAGAGCAGCTTCCAGCACCCAAAGGGGCTGACAAGAAATTGGGAGAGGGGCTTTTTGTAGGGACAGGACAAGGGGGAATGGCTTTAAACTGACAGAGGAGAGATTCAGATGAGGCATTAGGCAGAAGTTCGTCCCTGTGAGGGTGGTGAGGCGCTGGCACAGGGTGCCCAGAGAAGCTGTGGCTGCCCCATCCCTGGCAGTGTTCAAGGCCAGGTTGGATGGGGCTTGGAGCAACCTGGTCTAGTGGAAGGTGTCCCTGCCTGTGGCAGGGGGTTGGAACTGGATGAGCTTTAAGGTCCCTTCCAACCCAAACCAGTCTGGGATTCTATGATCTTTGTCTCACGATAAGCAGCACTGCCTTCCGCAGAAAAGGATTTACACATCATAACAAAAAATAAAAGTAATATATTGCTTGCAAATTAAGATTTTCTAGAGTGATCTTAACAGCTTGCTATTTTTATAGGTGGGACTGTCACACAACAAGAATGCATGTAAACCTGTTGACCTATACTGAATTTCACAGTTTTACCATGGGTAACTTCTGTGTAGCTACAAACAGCTTGGTCTCAGCATGTCTGAGCCAGCTAGAGCATCCCTGAGCTGTGCGGTGGACATCACGCAGAAGTACTTCCAGATTTCTACTTACCCTTTTTGACTTCCCAGGCTAAACTAAGCACGTATACTTCTCTGAATGGCTCTACTAATACATCTTTTTAGCAAAGCATATTTATTTGTCCGTGGCCACCTTTTTCATTTATCCTCTCTCTTTGCCGGCATATTCAGAGAGCTTAATAAATGACCAGTGATTTCAGGTGGGATGTGTAAGTCACACACTGGAGAAGGAATTGGCTTGTTTAACTGAAAAAAGCATTAGAATAACCTAATTTTAGTGATTTCCTTTCCTATCGTTTTCAGTGAAAGTTTGGGCTCTCCAAGCTGCAGAACAAGACACTGCGTGGACTGACCTCGTGATAACAAAGACTCGGATCCCTTCTTTACCTTGTGACATAGTTGTTGCTGTGCCATGTAACATCTCGTTGCCAAAGAAGTAAATCTCTTACTAGTGTGTGGATGGCCCAACGGAAACTTGTGTAGAAGGTCTGGGTGAGGCACGGTGTGATGTATATTGCCATGGAAACCCTGAGTTGTTTTCATCCATTGACATTTGCATCCTTCTTGGCATTTTCACAGACACAGTTTTCAGAGATCTCTTTTTTCAATAGCTGAGTGGAATTGATCAGTAGATTCACTGTTATCACCATAACAAAACCTCTGAAGGTGGAGTTTCTGTGGGGGCTACAGCAGGGTTACAGTTATCTAGCACATTTAAGTTAAACTTCTGAGCAGGAATTATATCTGAAGAAGCCCTATACTTTTAAAGACATCAGGGCAGAGAAAGAGGAACTTGTCTCTTCCCAGACAGTCCTGATACTGATGCTGGGAACCAGAAACAAACCACTGAGCAATCTGTTTGACATCTCTAATATGCCTCTTCAATGCCCTAGCAAATCAAATGGAATCCCTACGGCTGGTGAACTGAAATGTGCACAAGACTTGATTTTCTTTTTCTTTTAATTTATTAATAAAATGTTAAAAAAAAATCACAAAGCTTCTGGCACTATTTATGAATTATGACTAATTTCTTCAACCTTTTTCTGGCATTTAGAAATAGCACTCAAGCAAATTAAGAAATAATTCAAATACAACTGTGTCTTAATTGTTTTTGTTACCTATTTGATACACTCCTTCCCCAAAAGGCCTGATTCTATTCTTGTTTGCCATGGAGTTAATGGAGCTGTTCCTGACTAATGTGCATTAACAGGAGAACCAGCCATACTATTTACAGGAAGATGAAAGGAGATTATTATAGTCAGCACTTCAAGCTTGAGCAGACCATTAAGTACTAGCAGCTCGCCCATGGAGCTCTCTCATTATCTCCTCTTCTCTGTCCAAAGCAGCTCCCCTTTGCCTGCAAAGGACTCTTCATCCTGACATCTGAGTGTCATCAAGCATAAGCAGACATCCATGGGGAACCTGGCTTCACTCCTTCACAGTGGCTTTTCAAGCACCCCATGGATGGCTCTTGTGTCGGATGGCCTTGGGCTGTGTCCTGCAGAGGAGCAGAAAAGCCACCTATAACAAGAGGTAAAAAAGGCTCACTCAAAACACAGGTAGCTGGAGATCAGTCTTTAGAAGTCACTAATGAGAGTATGCTGTTCAGCAAACACCAAGTGTTTGTTAGGCTCTAGTCTGAAGAGTTTCAGTCCTCTGAGGGGCCCATGCTGAGGGTGCCCAGTCTCTGGCAGCAAGTGGCTGCTAAATTGCTCAAGTGATTTTAATTCAAAGCCGATAAGTGAAAATTATGATTAATTATATATTCGCAGGAGTTATGATCAGTTTATGAATGATTCATGAAAGAAAAAAGGAAGGCTAAATAGACTATGAATATCATTTGCAAGCAATAATTCAGGCAACTTCATCCCCCAAAGCGAGGTCCTGCTAGGCTCATGTTTACCTAATGACAGCCTGCAGTGCAAGGGGTGGGTGCTGTGCTGTGAATAATCTGTTTCTGCACGTCAACGCAGCAAAATACAGCTTTGCTGTGACAAAGGGAAGGTGCAATCTCCAAAGCTCTCCAAAAACAAAGGCCATTCTTTCAAAGGAATAGCTGTGCAAACTGTGCTCAGAGGGGTGAAGGCATATTGAGGGGAGAAGCTCAGCTCCTGATACGAATGGACGTACTGGATGCAATTAGGAATGAAGATAAGAGGAGCAGCTGGCCATGAATGCTGTCCTGGAGTCAAGGGACATGGAGTCATCCCTACCTTGAGTCTGAATCTACCATGTTTTGCCCCTGAGGGAGTGTAGTTTACACCCTGATTTTACATTTCCCTTTCCAGCTTCTCACCAAATCTGGCATCCAATATCAACTGCCTTTGGAAACAGGATTTGAGACACCAGAGATGCTGCTCGTATATTAAGGCTAGGTTGGATGGGACTTGGAGCAACCTGCTCTAGTGGAACACATCCCTGCCCATGGCAGTTCCTGGGCTCAGCTGCAATACAGTGGCAGTAGGCTGGTGGCTCCTCACTGCGTGTTTAATCTATGGATTACATCTTCCCCTTGTTTTCTCCTCAGTGCCAAATGTCTGGGACCGGTACTAGCACTTCACCATTGCAACAGGAATAGCTGCATCCCTGTGGGCTAATAGAAGCACAATGGTCAACATGGTTTAGGATATATAATCAGTTTTGTAGGAAAAGGCAGAATCCTTCACAAGACCCAAGCGGCAAAATTGGAAAGGCCAGGTAAACTTCAGGGTAAAGAAGCCCCTCTCTAGGCCTGACATGAAGGGAGCAAGCATCAAACAAAGCACAAGGTAGAGACTGTTGTTCAAAGGTAAACCAAACCATTTAATTCCATTAAAAATGTGAAACACTGACCAAGAAATCTCAGTGACCTCTTATTCACATCCTGTTCTTGGCTTTACATTTGCTGCAGCTATGTAGAATATGCAGGACTAATTGCATCCCACAGAGGAAGACAAATAAGACATGTTCAGATAGCTGGTCTATTGAAAATGTATTATCTCAGGAGGGAACAGGGGGCACGTGGCTAACTGAGCCATTGGTGGTCTGAGCAACCAGACCATCAGCAGTTCCCCAGAAAAACCAGCTCAAAGTCCATTTCCCTTTGCAGCCCCACTCATGCTGCAGCTCTCACCCTTCTCTTTCTCTCAAAACCCACCATAACCCCAGGGTGAGCTTTCTGTAAGGTCCCCACTCATATTCACTGTGGCTGCTGTAAGGACATCCACCCCTTTCTCTCAGTATGTATAGTACTAAGGAGATTTCTTACCAGCCACATTGAGCTCTGACATCTCTTTAGGTGTACATGACAAGAGTCAGCCACTGGAAAAAGAAGAAAAGGTGCATTTAAATAGTGATGTTAAGCTAAGTATTCAAACATGTGTCTTGGTACCTCCAGGCTCTGAGTCAATGACTACAGTTCTTTTGTCCCGCACAGGATAGATAAGGGGTTTTAGAACTGCCTTTCCCCCTTATTACAATTCAGACCCAGACACACTTTCCGTATGTTGCTTTCCATGATAAATTATTGCAGCATCTGCAGCAGGAACAATTGCTGGGAGAGGCTGGCATCTGTGTGATTGCAAGTGGAAGGGATAGCAGGGTTTGGGAATGTGGCTATCCTACAGATCATAACACAGGTTCAGGGCTTCTGCTTGAGAAATGCTCAGCTTTTGGTGCAAACCAGATTTAATGAACTCTGAGACACTGAACTAAGCACGGAATGCAAACAGGAGCCAGCAAGATTGTAAAAGGATTTTGTGAAAGATCTTTTTAAACACTGTGCTGTCAAATAACAGTCCCCAGACTGATAAAATGCAGCACTCAGGCATATCACTATGGAGCACAGCAGGATTTTTGCTTTAGACTAGCTGATAAAAAGCTTGATGGATCCCCATTCCGCTACCTATCCTTCAGGCTGTGCTTGCAAGACAAACAGCAGCAGCAAGCATTTATCTGCTATTTCCTTCTCAAAATCAAGACGTTTTGCAACTCAGAATTAACAGATGGGGCAGTAAGAAATGAGGACATGGATTTCTTTTTGTCACTTCCTCAAAGTCACTTTGAGCAATGTCTCCAACAATGAGAGTCTGGGGCAGTAAGGGAAGACTCTGCTTCAGACATGGATGGCCACCACTGAGCTGTGCTCACCCTAGCGAGGCTGCATGACTGGGAAATACCTCCCACCCATGAAGCACATCCAGCCAGGCAACAACACTGTTGGTGTCAGAGGCAAACCCCCCAGTACCATACATCATGCATCATCTTTAACTAACGTACTCCATGGGCCCACTCTCAGACCTGGAGAGAAGGAAAGGAGCACTCTTACCTCTGTTGCTGTCATCAAAATCTGTGATCCGCCCTCTGCTAAGTTTTGAAATGCATCTGCAGTTGGAACAAAGAAAATCTCACTTCATGAGGAGAAAACAAGAATGCAGTGCAGACATAAGGCTGTGGCAGCTGAGGAGCAGGGCTGCGATCCCTGTGCTGGGATGCTCTGCCTTGGTTGCCGGGTCCACTCACACTGCTCTGCCTCTGCACATCTCTGTGCTGGGTACCCCCTTTTTCTTGGCCCTGGGATCACAGGCTGGAGAGGCATCTCAATTGCAGGGCCACAATGCAAGTTGAGTATAGGGATAGGGAGTGCTCAATGTGACTGCTTTCATCTCCTCCTGCAATTTGTTCCAATTGCACCTCCTGCCCGAAGACTGACAAGAGAACAGTGAGCTAATGAAACACATCTTCCCACAGGGAAACTTTCTGTTGGTCCTTTCCCATCCTCCCTGGCAGTGAGTGATCACAGTGTGTTCTAAAGAAACCGATTCTCTTGAAGTCATTAGTATGCCTTGCGAGTTTTTTTCCAGGGAATATAAATGCAGATGCTGCTGTTACTCAGCTCCAGTTGGAAATTAACATTGCTGAAAGTTTTCTGACAGAACACTTTGCCATCAGGAAATATAAATCCATTCAAATATTGATATTCTATGTGCACATTTATATTGCAATTGGTCTAGGAGAAACATTTAAATCCAAGTGTTTGGATAAAGTCAAAACGTAGAATTTTGAGTTCTGTTTATTTATTTTGAAATCACTTTTCTCCTAGAAACGCGCTGTTATAAACAGTAATAAAAACTTGGAACAAATTTCAGCCTGTCTATCCTTGAATGACACGTTCCTCCAGGAGCCTTTTCTCCCACCCTGAATGGAAAAGGCATTGTAAGACCATGGATGTTTTGAAACCTGCCTGGCTTTAGACAGAAGTGCAAGGCTGTTGGGTGAGTGTAGCAACAGGGCATAGGCGTGCACTGCCCATTTGGCCCTTAGGAGACAACCAGAGCTACCAGCACGAGGAAGCACATCCAGCCTATAGTGCTCTGAAGAAAGCCATAGAACAAGGAAACCCCATGTTGCACCCAGCACCTTGGCAAGGTTGCATTTGCAGGGCTGGGCTTGCACCTAACAGTCTTCCTAGGAACAAATGACAGGGCTGAAGTTATCTCCTCTGGGTAGAGGTAAGTGCCCCTTTACTGCTTCATTAACTCCCATTAAATACAGTTTGCAAAGAAGCTGCTGCTTTTGCTTTGGGTCTTATCCCTGGCTGTCTTGAAAGGATAAGCAATGAGTTAATGGAACAGATTTTAACTTTCCTGCTGCATTCACACCATCATAAAGGTGAACTGCCTTTTATTTCCTCGTGGCACTCCTATCCTCTCCTGTAGTGATCTTATTCACAGTGATTTGAAAAGTTTGAGAAATATATTCCCCATTAAACCCTCTGTCAAGTGATAACTGCAAGAGTTGAGGGCGTTTTATGATCCTCATTACAGACAGCAATGAAACTTTCAGAGAGTCCTTTCCACATGGATGTAAAGAAGTTGTCTTTACGCTGGCACATTAGTAAGTTGCAAGAGGACCTTTTGAAGATAAGAAAAAACAACCATGGAGGTAATTTAGGCACAAAAAATTTCATCTACAGCAAAAGACATGTAAAATCACAGGGAAATTTCTGTTTACAAGTTATCTTTCTTTTAATGAAAGCATTAACATCAGGACACAGTCTGGCTTTATGAGCTGCACTCCCTTGAAATGGGGTTTTAGGCAGTGTCATCTGGGCGGATCCACTGACCACTACTGGCCCATCAAACATCAGTGGTAAAAACACATGGGAAATAATGAACACTCATTTCCATGCGCTGTCGAAACCCAGCTCGTTCCAAAGATGAACTAAATTGCTGCAGCAATGTTCTAGCACGTGGGTCACAATTGCTGGGTTTGTTTAACTACCAGCATTTCCAGTCAAAATGCTTATTATTAGAGTAGTAAAAATTATGCTTTCCTAAAAGAGAATTCCATTTACTTTCAGGCAAAGGCTTATTTACAGACATTCCCTCCTTGCAACTGCCAGACAATGGCTGCACACAACACAGGCATGGGGGGGTTATCCACTGAGAAGGACCTCAGACCTCCTCCTTGCCAAAATCTGAGAGAATTTTACATAAGTTGGTGAGGAAAACATCTCTCCAACTAAAAGGGGAAAAAAGTATGTAAAAGCACCTCCTTTGCTGTGATTTACACTTCTCTGATTTTGAACCACAAAAAGCCTTCCATCTGAGATGTGCTGCCTTGTTCCTCTCCACTGGGCATGAATGCATGCACTCTCGCCTCAGTGGTACCAGCATCGCTCCACATCATCCTGCAGAGAGCTCTGCTGTGGACCAGGACGCTCAAGCTTGTGTGGAAGGGCACCAGCACAAGGACACAGGTTGGTTTCAGAAAATGAGTCTTAGTGCACAGGGGCTCTAAGGACAGGCCTGCAGAGGCCAGGTTAATTCACACAGCAAAAATGGATTGGCAGCTGAAGCAGCTCTGGGTATACATTAACATCACAGGGCAGCGTGGTGCTGCTGCAGCCCACAGGCAGTCTGATGAACTCTGATGGGAAACTGTGGGGTAACTTTCCTTCTGGCTCTTTTCAATGAGAGCATCACTGTATTCCCAGCTGCTTTCTCCCAGCACTAAACCACTCTCTACCAGCCAGCTGCTCCTGTGGGAAGGAGGCAAATCTGGCTTCTGGCAAACAGGCTGCTCAAAGGGCTGCCTGGACCGTGCCTGGCCTTTGGGGGCAGGTTTGCTATTTCCAAGCTATGTGTTGGACATGCATTTTCACATCCAGCGCTGTGTCCCTTGCCTCCTGCCTCTGCTTTCAGTGTGCCTTTGCAAGCTCCCCCGCTGCCACAGCCCCTGCCCTATCCCAAGCCCCAGCGCTGAGACTCACAGGTCATGGTTTCAAGGCGCAGCATGCAGCACACGAAGTCAGAGAAGCCGATTCTCCTGGCAGCATCGCCGTACCGCAAGGTCATCAGGCGCAGGAGCTGATCATCAGCAGCCAGACCTGTGGAGGGAAGAGGAATGACAGCACTGTGAGATGATGGACCAGCTCTGATGGCCTTGTGCACCCTGCAGATAAACTGGGCCCTCCATCAGACCCCACCTTGTCATGTTAGGTCTCTGCATCCCTGGAAACAGCAGTTTGCCTTTCCCCAGGTTCGTGCAAAGGAGTTGGGGTACAGTGATGGCAAATCAGAGTTCTTCCAGTGATTAGAACTGTGGCTTCAGTCAGCAAGCAGGAAACACTGAGCTAAATAATCTAGTGTTACCTTGCTTTGCCTTTTTAGCTTTTATTTTCTATAAGAAAGGGTGATATTCTTTGGCTTATAACTGTTAAAGTCTGGTGTAGCATTTACAATACCACTGCTGCTTTCTGCTAAACAGGGAGATGCTACATACTCGTGCTATTATGCGGTGCAGCATGCCTGGGATCCTTAATTTTTACATTTTCTCTTCTATTAGGAAATGGTGAAGGGTGCATTTCCTTTTTATTAGCTGATTATTCAGAATTTGTGTCACAGTCTGTTTGGATGGAAATTGGTATTCAATTGAATGAACAAAGATTGCCTTTTAGAATGATTCTTTTATTAGGTAAATAAAACTACCCTAAATGTGCTGGCTATATAAAAGGAACGATTTAAATGTATTTTGCACTAAAAGCTGATTTGCTAAACAAAAGAGAAATTTTCTGCAGAGAGCTGGACCAATAGCTTTGGTTTAATGCATTCTCCGAGACTTCAGACAAGTCTCATTTGTCCCTGGTTTTCAGTGGCTCAGCTAGACGAGAAGTAGCTTTCCTCATTTTTCAACCACCTCTAAACTTTGAAGTTTTAAATGCACTCCTTATGGAGTTATATCAGTTAAACAAGCAGAAAAGAAGGACATCGTTTCTCCACATCTACGTAGGGGGAGATACACCCATGGAGGTGGGTTAGTACGACAACCAAATCTGGTTGCATGAGCCTAGCTGGAGAAGGTCTCCAGCAGGAAGCAGACACACAATGCTGGATATTTAAATAAATAAAATACATTTGGGCTTAAGCCACATTCCAAGTAAGAGAACCCTGATTTTAATTTTTTTTTCCCCTAGGAGATAAATCCAGTAATTAAAAATCTAATTAATGACATTTCTTCTTTGATGCTGGTTTTAAACTGCTGCCAAGAGACACTGTAGCAGTGAGCAGTGAGTTCTATCTATCTCAGTTTTAACCTTTGGGAGGCAGTGGGAATTCAATCGAGCTCCCTCTGGAGAGCAGATTCCAGCAAGCATTTTCGTGCTGCTTACAAGATGTTGTAATAATGTCTTACACTAGTAAAACACCAACAATTTGGCACGGGCAGTGGGATATGCTCTGAAAACTGCTCACCTGGCAATGTCTCTCAATTACCTTCATCAGCAAGACCGAGGTGTCAGTCCTCTCTGTTCCCAAGATGGCTCAGTTATGTGTTACTGATTGCTTGTGAGGTTACTCCCCACACCTTTTGCCTCCTGGATTCCTTACTCTGGTTTTAGTCAGACTTTAAAACACAGACTTTATGTTTCCCTTTTTGTTTTTATTATTACTGTTCTGATGCATTTAATATTGCCAATGAGCTGTTTCTAAATACATGTCAGGGCAGCACTGCTGTTAATGCAGCAAGACTGCTTTATCCTGGCAGAAAACCCGACCCATCATTGTTAAGCTCTGAAGCATTAGGGCAACAGTGACAATTAGGCACACACCTCATTGCTCTGCTGGGGAAAGCACTGAGCACACCGGGGACAGCTGGCTAGAAGCTGTATTTAAATACATTAGTGACAATCCCAGAGGTAGCACCAAACACTTTCTGGGGCTGTCCACTCCTTCCTGCTTACAAGCCAGGGCTGGGGTCATCCTAGTGCAAAGCCAGATCCAAATGCAGCTGTCTGGCTGAGAAGGTGGCAAGAATAAGCTTTAATTTTCTTTTTTCCCCTATTCAGAGCCGCTTATAGCCTGACATGTATTGAGTTTGTCATTTAGCAGTGCCTTTTTATCCCTTCAAATACAGCTTTGGTTGCCAGGACTCCTCAAGGTACAATTTTCCTCCCAGTTTTACACTTTAGCACCTTTCTCACAGAATGGACCTGGCAGCTTCTCCTCTGACATTTGGCACATCAGTGCTGCGCTCCTCGGGGGCAGAAGATGCTAAAGCTCTTCAACCTCTCAGCAGCAAAAAAGTTACATATACGTACCCTGTGCTGATGGCTTCTATGGATAGCAATTCTGCACTGGGTTCTTCCTGGGGACAGCACCCCGCTCCAAGCTCCAGGAAGCCAAATGGGAGCTTCTCTACTGTACAGTTATTAGAGGACCGGTGGCTCAGAGCTGTATTTCACACACAGTCTCTGAAGAGATGACCCAGCTAAAACGTTTCGCTCATATAGTTCACTCGAATCCTGTGTTCAGCTTTGGGACCCACACAAGAAAGACATTGAGGTGCTGGAGCAGGGCCAGAGAAAGGCAAGGGAGCTGGTGCAGGGCCTGGCACAAGTGTGATGGGGAATGGCTGAGGGACCTGGGGGGGGTTAGTCTGGAGAAGAAAAGGATCAGGAGGGAGATGATCACTCTACAACTGCCTGACAGGAGGATGGAGCCAGGAGGGGGCTGGTCTCTGCTCCCAAGGAACAAGGGATGGGACAAGAGGAAACAGCCTCAAGCTGCACCAGGGGAGGTTTAGACGGATATTAAGAAGAATTCCTTCCCCAAAGGGTGCTCAGGCATTGGAACAGGCTGCGCAGGGCAGTGCTGGAGTCACCATCCCAGGAAGTGTTCCCAAACCATGTAGACGAGGCCCTCAGTGACATGGGTTAGTGGTGGCCTTGGCAGTGCTGGGAAACGGTTGGACTGGATGACGTTAAAAGGTCTTTACCAACCTGGTTGATTCTGTGATTGTGTTTGGAGTGCTACCATGCACTCACTGCAAGTTTCAGCATTCACATAGCCAACAGAGGTCAGTGCAAACTAAATAACTGCCTGTCACTGTGGCTTTCCCTTACAGACTTAAGTCACTGCCCTGGAGAGAAACGGCAGGAACTGGGGCAAGTGCCGAGCATCGACTCTTCCTTGCTTCTTTCTTCTGCTGGATGCTCTGTCTGTGGCCTAGAGAGACTATAGATAAGCTGTCTGCAGGCTCTGGTCAGTGCTGTGCTTCCCTGCATCCCTGCTGCCTCACCAGCTGCATTGCTAAGGGTTTCTCCCTGAAAAGAGTTTCACTGCCCTACAACTGCAACTCTAGAGCAGAGCTGAGATTTAACTGGCACCTCTGTGCAATCCAAACCACTTTCTTCCTGAAGCTCTTTTTTCTTTCCTTGCTCTTTTTCACCCTTTCCCTCACTGCAACAGGGACAAGAAAGGGAGTTGCTCAGCGCTTATGGACATACCTGCTGCCTGTACTGCACTCTTCAGTTCAGATATATCCAGAAATCCAGACTGATTCCTGTCTTCCCTGCTGAAGATAGCCTAAAAAAATCCAGAAAAGGGCATATTTCAAGCCCATATCAACATTCCCCCAATTTACTACTGCACTCAATTACACAGAATGCTTTCTCTCCTTAATAAATAGGCTGCAAGGAAGTTCAACAGGTGAGATGGGGTGACGACGGCAAGGGAGACCCATTTCCAGAAGGCTCAGATAGCATGTTACTGTGCAAGAAATCCCACAGTTTCGGGTGTGTGGAAGCCTTTTTGCTGACTCCCCCTGGTTAATGTGTGCAGGCAGCAATGGAAATACTCACACTTTGACTGACAAAAAGACATTGTCTGTAACACATCAAATAAACCAGGAGTCCCTGGGTCCCGGAATGGTGTGGGGTCATTTTTCCCAACACAGCTTGAAACCCCATAAGCCACACTTGAGGCTCTGTCAGGGGGAAAAGCACCATTGCTAGAAAGGGAACTGGCACCCCATGTCCTAGGTGGTCTAAGGCCATCTCAGGAGGCATGAAACAAAGCAGAGCCCACCCAACCCTGATCAACCCTAGAAAGCAAACTAGCGTCCTCACTGCTTCTAGACCTAATGCCTATCCCGGAGCAGACATTTCTCCCAAACTTTCATTGGATCCTACAGGTTTCCACTACAAACTGCAGCAATGAGGAAATGACATTTTTCAGATTACTCCGTTCAAGAACTCATTTCAGCTTGGAAAGCCTTTAAAAACATTGCCGGTGGTGGCACAAAGCTTTCCATCAAATTCTGAGCCTAATTGGTCTTCCTACCTTTTCCCACTTTTCCCTCAATGTTCCCTGCAATAGAAAAGCTTCGGCTGCTCGTTTGGAGCACTTTACACACACCACTGCTTCCTAAGCCCTAAGCCTTTGAATGAGAACAAATCTGACCCCCTAAGCAAGCAACATTTTTCCCCCCACTGCTTTGATCTCACCAAGCATCTGCGCCCTGCTGATGAAAAGCCCAGGAGTGCAGTATGAGCAAAGAGAGCAGCCCCCATGTACCGTGTACTTAGTGAGACTTCGCCAGAGGCTCCCGAACTCCTGCAGTGTGAGTCGGCCGTTCGAGTTGAGCTGTGCATTTAGTTAAGTATTGAGCAGTTAATGAGAGCTAGACCTGGCTTTGTTCCCAAGGATGCTGCCTTCACATAAAGACAGACAAAAGGTGCAGTCTCTTCTGTCTGTCACTTTATGTTGAGAAAGCCAAGAGCTTTTCTGCTCTTAGTCATGCTCAGAGTTAAATTCACCTGCTTGGCACATTGTACAGCTGCTCATACCTGTGCTCACAAGCAACAAAAGGTTTCTATTTATACAGCACCTTTAACCACAAGGGAACCTACAGTGATCACTTCAGTTGACATTTAGCCGCTGAGCACAGAGGTCCATGTGGATGAACACAACCCCGTGCTCGAGGCAATGTGTGCATATTGCCTTGCATAGTATTAGCTCCAGGTGGATCCTCCTGGAGGAACAGGGACTGAAGGAGCCAAGAGCACAATGAGCCGATTCCGACTGCTGTTGTCAAGAAGGCACCAGCAGCCTTTGAGCCATGCATATACCACATGTGAGGAAACACTTCCCCACCACGAGCTGCAGGAGCCCAGGGTGCCAGTAGACATCCCTTGGGGGTGCTTGAAGGACTATGTCAGTGGACCTGCTCCCCTCCACACACCATTTAGGAGTCCTGGGCAGATGTGCGCCTCACCTGATGCAGCTGGGATGGTGAAAGCTCCCTGAAAGCAAAACTCATCACCAGTGAAATATAAGCAGATAAGTGCCACTGCTATAAAACCAGAGTGAACAAAGCTAATCCTGTCTTTGCAGGTTGGGACAGGTCACACTGTACATGGGTAATATGCTGCTCAGAGAATGAAAATACATCTTGAATTAAAGCAGAGCAGTAGCTTTGTCAGTTCTTTGCATCTACCATGCATTCACAGTGCCCACTTAACCCAGGAGGGGCTCTGGAAAAGGGGGAAAAGTCTCTTTCACTGGCTAGATGCAGAAAGCTGTAAATAGAGAGGGACCTCTAGTCATTTTTATTCATTCCATGGCAGTTGGCAAAGGTCTGAATGTGTCTCAAAGTTATTTCAAGAGACAATGAGCAAGCAAGAGGGAAGAATTCATGTTTTCATCAAGGAGCTCTCTTGCTCTACAATGGCCAGCAGAGTATTTCCAGTTGCTGTGGTTTTGGCTGGGATAGAGTCAATTTTCTTACAAGTAGCTCGTACAGTGCTGTTTTGGACTTAGTGTGACAATATTGATAATACCCTGATCTTCTAGCTGTTGCTAAGTAGTGCTTACCCTAAATCAAGGGCTTTTCAGTCTCATGCTCTGCCACTGAGGAGGGCCACAAGCAGCCAGGAGAGAGCACAGCACAACCAGTACAGCTGACCTGCACTAGCCCAAGGGATATTCCATACCATAGTGCATCATGCTCAGTATAGAGACTGAGGGTGCTGGCTAGGAGCCATTGATATCTGTTCAGGGATGGGCTGATGACTGGTCAGCATGTGGTGAGCAATTGTATTGTGAATCACTTGCATTTGCTGAATTTTATTCCTCCTTTCTTTCCTATTATTATTATTATTATTATATTTCACCTCATTTCAATTATTAAACTATTCTTTCACAGGTTTTACCTCCTTCCAGTTCTCCTCCCCATCCCACCTGGGGCAAGATGGGGGCACATAGTGAGAGAGTGGCTGCATAGTGTTTAGTCACCAGCTGGAGTTAAACCATAACACCAGTGTTGTCTTGTTAATGGTTACAAAACTGTGTGATCTATCTAAATGGGGAAGTTACACTGGAAAAGATGAATGGCCTGCCAAAAGATGATTTGGCAGTGATAGTGCTTCTCCTCCTAACACCAGCCCTGCTGGCAGTGATAGCAGCCTGCTCAAGCTACCAGCCCAAGCCACTGTGGTTGCAACCATGAGGGAAGAGCTGAGCTATGCCTGAGCTCTGTGCTGTCTCCTCACCTCAGGCTCTGCACCCAGTGGTGAAGCTTAGCTGAGCCAGGGGAAAATGAGAGCAAAGATTTAGCTGGTAGCAGAAGGTTGACCCCCACCTTTAGGAGACACACCAAAGCCATGGCAAAGTCCTGCATAGGGCCTGGGGCAGTTATTTATTGAGGACCGTGTCTAATATTTACTTGCAGGTTCTCACACTGGGATGCTCAGCTCAGCCATAACTCAAGGCAAGGATGGGCAGCACTGGGGAAGTTTATTGCTTCTGCAGAAAGGATACATCCATCAGAGCTAAAATGCCTCTGCATGAATCGAAGCTGAATCTTCCCCCCAGGCTGGTCATTTCATCTGTAAGGATTGACAAAACAGAGGAATTAGAGAGAGCAAGGAGAGTGGCAGAGGCATCAGCTCACCATTTGGAGGGAAAGAGGACACCAAGCTGAAAGCTCACATAGCTAAAAAGCCCCAGACCTGGCTCAAACAGCAACCATGGCTATGTGCCAGGCTGAGGTCTATGGAGGGAGCTGGACATGCCTCAGATACCTCTACTGCTCCCTTCTCTAAGGACAAGTGCCCTCTTTGGGCTCACAGGAAGCTAACTGCACATTCTCTGCCTACCTTTCTGCCCTAAAGGTTACCCTTCCCTCTTTAAATAAGAATAGGGAAAATGACAGTGACAAGAAAAGCCATTTGTGCAGAATTATCAACTCCTAAGAGCGCTTTGAACCTTGTACTTGGTAGGTTTGAGCCCTCCAGCTGTGCTTGTCTCATGCTATTTTCCAGGTGGACAGATGAGGAAGGCTGGGGTATGCTGGAAGCCAGCTTGAGGCCTCTGCAGAGGAGCGATGCAGGCTGGGTCTGAACTGGGAGAAACTGGCTGACAGTGAGGGGAGTGGAAGGCACAGCTCCCTGGGGCACTCACTGGTGCAGCCCAGCCAGGGAATGAGTTCCAGCTGCAATTGGTGGGGCACAGAGCAGGAAGGGATGCTCATGGAAACTGCAGGGACTTCCAGAAGGACAGCACGGGGTGGGATAGGTCTGCAAAGCAGAAGGAACCTTGGTGGAGGCAATTCTCATTCTTCAGGATCCAAGAGTGCAGTAAGCCACACTGAGGACTTTTCAGGTGCATCAGGACACCATTAAATCCTCTAATTTACACTAGACTAAGGATAGGGAAGCATCAAAGGCATTAGCTGGGGTTTAAGAGCATCAGGATCACCTTGCAGGATCACTTCATTAAGGAGTTCTTGCAGCTGCGAGGCATCGATTTCTGAGCCCTAAAGTAGAATAAATGCAAACAGAGGTCTGTGAGCATAGAGTCTTCCCCTGAGTCACTTTAGCCCAAAACTTCTTTACTCATGCACTGTGGGCACCAAGAAGGACCTCTGCTTATATCAGAGGAGCAGCAGCACCTTCTCGGGGGTGTAACAGCTCTCCACACTGCTGGGCCACTCTTTGTCCTTCCTCACAAGAGTCTGCAGGGCAGTTACAGGCATTCCCATCACCACAGGGCATTTTCAGCAGCGAGGGAAAGTGAACACTTGCTGATTTCATCAGCCCCTAGCTGGGGAGTTATCACAGAACCATGGAACAGTTTGGGTTAGAAGGGACCTTAAAGATCATCCAGTTCCAGCCCCGTGCCATGGGCAGGGACACCTTCCACTAGACCAGGCTGCTGATGGGCAGGCCCAGTGGACTGGGATGGACAAGCAGACTGAGAGCTTCCCTCTGAGCTACCCATTGGGGACCTTAGTACCTCCCACCTTATACACTGCTGGGGCATTCAGCAAGGTGTTCGTTTTCACCTTCATGCATCGATACAACTATTAACTGCAGGAGGTCCACTGTGCAAAGACTTTCAGCAGTGATGGTCTTTTTCCTCTTCACTAAGTCAAGGAGTTCTTTATAACTGTTTATTAAACCATTAAAAGCATCTCCTGTGAACACAGAGTTTGGCTCTGAAAGAGCAGGAATCAATTACTCAAACACTGTCTGACTGGTTGCCAAATGCCATGAAGGCAAATGGAAAGCGATGCTGATGGGGGGGGGGAACACCCAAGGCTTTCTAATTGCTTTCAGTAAATAAACAAATCAAAGCCAAAAAAGTACACAGGCAAGCCCATCACCAGCACGACCACAGATCTCCAATCCTCCACTGATAGATGGGGCTATCCAGCCTACCCCAGCTGAATGTCTCATTTTTCTGGGGGTTTTGGCAGGCCAATCAATACTGTTTTCAAGGTATCTGCTTGAGGATGGAGCTATATTTCCCCCAAAAAAACACTTTTCTAAATGGATTTGTACCAACATCATAGACCAGTTTTTCTTTTTGCAGCTCCACATCCGTATTAATTTTTATTTTTCAGCAAGATGTTATAGGTAGGATACCTGCTTAGCGTATCGTAGGAAGATAGCCTTATAGGAACTGTCCTGGTTTTGTCTTGGTAGATCCTGGATCCAAGATAAAGCACACAGATAAACAGTTCAGTTCCAAACCATCTGGAAGCAGAAGTCTGCAGATCCAATCAGCACTTCAGAGAGGGCAGGGAATGCGAAGTACAGGCTGCAGTTTTAACACCCCAAAAGTAAAGTGGACTGGGAATGAGGAACAGCTACTGCAATGAAAGATGCATAGTTTGGATGTTATCACTTAGTACAACCAGGAAGGAGCAGCTCAGGGCCTGAGGAAGAGAACAGAATACATCCAGGGTGGAATTCAGCAAGTCAAACATGAGAATAGCTGTACAAAGCCTAATCCTTATTGGTAACCCTCAGTTGAAAACACTAGCTTTTAGGTGTGCAAAGATTCATGTGAACCGAAAAAAACAGAGCAGGAGTTGACTTCTCTTTTCTCTTGTACTTTCTAAACCCCAAGCAGGCTTGACTGTACCTGAGCAATTGCAATTCAATGATGAAGTGATTTTTTCCAGCCCTCTGGTGAGAATCCACCAGGCACTAAGGGGAACAATCCTTGACGTTATGAAGTTTCCCTCAAAAATCTAAGCCTAAATCCCAATGCCTTCATCTCTGTGCTAGATAATTCACACCAGTGAAGTCCAAACACCTGAACAGAACAAAAAGTGCTGGTACCATAACTCATCAAAGTCAAAACTCTGACTAACGACAACATCTGAGTAAACCAACAGCTTGTCAGTGAAAAGAGATAATAAGCCACCATTTACACTACACCTCTAATGGAGCTTAATTGCAGGCTGGAAAATGAATCACAAGGAAAGGGCTCTGTTTTCTGTTCTCCTGAAGCAGTTTTACACCTTTGGCTTCAAAGACCTGCACTGAGTTTGCACTGCTATAAATAACAGCCTTTCAGCAGCAGGGTTTTGTAAGCAACTGATGAGGCAGCAGCATCTGGACTAGCTCTGGCAGTATGCACAGTTCACTGTGAGGAGGTCCAGATGGTAGCTGAGCTAGAGAGGCTGTAATGTGGGTCGAACTAGAGGTGTAACCACGTTTTAAGTGTAATCTCCCTTATATCCTTGAAGATATCCTGATGAAAATTAGAAGAAATCTTCTTTGGGCCTCACCCCTATGGAATCCTGTGCTTGATATGTTGCAAGCACTTAGATGGAGCTATTCATTTAGGCATATAGGACCCTCTTGTGGTCTTATCTATGAGCTAACCCCTATGGGGAAGTCATGTGTGACCCTGCTGTCAGGTGTGAAGTCTTTTTAAAAGAGGTCAAACTCAAGCTGTGACTTTCTCATCAGTTTCCCCCTCTCTCCTCCTTAGAGATGTACTCATTTACAGACATTGCAAGAGTTTACTACCTCTGAAGTGCTCTCCCCCTGCTATATTTGGTTGGTCAAAGTATTTAATGTGGCAAAATGGAAAGGACAGACAGACAAGCTGACAGAGGGACTGTATAAGATTTGTTTCCTTAAAACAATCAAGCTCTGAAAGAGACGTATGTGAAGAAGAGAGGCTTCCTTGTCGCTCCTGTCTCTCCAGAGACCTCAGGCTGGTCACCTGGTTGTAGAGTGCCAGAGTTGAACTCTTGGACAGGTACTGGGTGGTGAAAGGAGAAAAGAGCAGAGTGGTATCTGGTATGTGGAGAAGGAAGAAGAGGAGTCAGTAGAGGTGGCTACCAAATGGTTAGCTCTCTGGGAACCATTCACCACCACCGGTATCCACATCAGTTTTCACAGACTCTTACCATTGGTGGCACTGGGCTGGGTAGGGAGTTTGAGTTCCTGGAAAAGAGTTACAAGAGTCAAACTGGGGGAGAACAGGCCTTTTCAGAGCATCTCTTTGCAGATATGGCAGAAGGCAGGCACCAAGAGTGCCTGCAGCCCTACAAGATGCTCAGCACCCACACCACCCAGCTGGTCCCAGTTCAGTCAAGCCTGTTGCACCAGTCCTGGGTCTCTCTGTGCAAGCAGACATGAGTCTCTAGCTGCTGGGGAACATGGCACCAGCAGCAGAGAATAGGTACCTTGTCTCACTTTGAGCATGCCAGCACTAATCTCACCACACAGAAGACAGGGCTGCCCCACCTTGAGCCACATAAAACATTCACCCGCTTTCTCTTTGCCTAGTTTAAGAATCAGGAATAAAAATAGCATCTGGGCTATTAAAAGACAACATCTTTTTAAAAGGCAGCATCTTTTAAATGCCTGCAGGCTGCCTGTAATTCAGCTGAGGTCACCATTCCTTCCGAGACTCAGTAGCAGTATTCAGAACTGGAGTTTTGCATTTGGTAGAGAAATCAGGCAAGATGCATGCTATTTCAGTCACATCTGTGCTATCCTATAGAAGAGCTGCAGACCCACAAAAATGGGATCCCAATGCTTGGCCTAGCTCAGCAAGGTCTCTGAGGGTCAGAGGCTCTCCTAGAAAGAGAGCCTGAGACTGAGGTATCTTGTGCATTACTCGTCATGCTGAAGGCAGTCCAGCCCGGAGCACAGGCGTCTTCTGTTTGTTTTCCATAACCAAGGAGTTGCCTTAGCTGGTTCAGAGCCAGGTGACAAAGCCTAGAGAGCAATCTCATTATTATGGTATGGTTAAGAGCTGCAATCACCTCCATTATAAAGCTTGCTAAAGGAAAGCCACTGTACATCTGATTCTTGAGGGTCATTTGGTAAGGCTGAACACCAGGGCTTGCTCTTCACACAAAGCACACCCTCCTATTTACATGAAAACATGGTAACAGCTGCCTTTGCATGAATTAAGTCACCATTTTCCCCACTAAACTCATCTTCAAGGCCCTTTTCATACCCACATGGAGCCCTGCCATCCTGGCTACGAGATGGCTGGGTGAAAGGATCAGGGCCTTTCACTGCTCTTTGTTTCCCTGGATCCCACTTTGAGCAGTATGGGACCTGATCCATCAGGCAGCATAACATAAGAAACTGCATAACAGTTGTTAAGAAAAACAAGCTCACATTCCTCCTTTCAGTAGGGAGAGATTTCCCCACAGCTGGAGGGGGATATCTCACAACCATAGCTTGCTTGTGTGGCTCCTTGTACTAAAGCTGATACCCTTGGTGGCTGCCGATGAGCTATTGTCCTGTTCTGCAGTGACCACCCCTAAGCATCCGACTATATGTCTGATCCCCCTCAACATGGTGCTTAACACTCAGCTGTGTCTTCCCAGCACACTTCTAAAGTATATTAAAAGTAAATTGCCACATTAGTTATCTTGACATTAAATTGTTAAATCCAGGCAGACTGTAAGTCTGGGGTCTTTAAGGAGTACTTATCGTCTTACTCATTGTACTCTTGATTCTTCATGAAGATTCTTAAAAGGAATTCAAATTCTTGGTCCTCCATTGCAGCAGGAACAACAGCGTAGGTTCCTGGGCTCAAGATAAAGTAGGTGGTCACGTCTCGAGTCAGGGCAAAAGTCTGTTTCAGAACTTTGGAGTTCTCCTGAAAGAAAAATGCAAGAGGTTATCTCCCCCCTGTGTCAGCAACTGAAGTAAATCAGCAACTTGCACCCACAGCAGCCTCACATTCCCCCACAGCTCTCTAAATACACATCCATCTAACATGCCTTAACCTCCGCAGTGACATGAAAAGCCCATCCAGGTGACACACTTCGTTCAAGGACACATCAAAAATGAACAAGGGTGGAAGAACTGAAAGAACCAGAAGGCAGAATGAATGTATGTGGGTTTGAAGAGAACTTGGATTGACATTGAGCAGACTGGAGCTCATGAAGGACTCAAGGATGAATACTCTTACTAAAACTAGCCCTGAGTTCTAGTGTGACTCAGAAAGCTCACTAAGCATCGCACCCAGATGACAACGCTTCAAGAATCACAACCCAAACCTTCTAGCAAGTGTCACACAAAACCAGAATATTCTGATCTTCTGTTATTCCAGTATTTTTGCTGAGATGAAACAAATATAATGCAGCAGCTATTACTATGATGACACGTTAAGATAGCATAATAAAAAACCCTTCCTAAACATACTCCCCAAAATACATCAGCATGTATAAATTCCATTTAGAATGGTTATACAGCGTGGCAGAGTTATTTATGAGCCATGCCTTTGGGAGACAATAACATAAAACTGCTATTTTGGAAGAAAAAAAAACACATAAAAAGATGACTACTGTTAGAGACGGCTGGGAGGTATGTAGACTGCCAAGTATTATGGGTCAGACCTGGAACAGATAGGAACGGGCACTGCTGCAAAGAAATAAATGGTGTAATCCATTTTTTACTTTTGGGTCTCATTGCACAATCCTTCTGGTAAAAAGCAGCAGCAGATTAATACCTCAACGGAGTCAAAACCGGTGTGAGATAAGAATCAGGCTCTATACATTGCTCAGATCTATCACACAACATTAAACTTCCCTCACAGCCATGTGTTAGCGTTCCACGTCCATATTTAATCAAAGCCTTCCTGGAGCTATCAGATATGCCCATTCTGGTTTGCATCCTTGCCTGCACTGCATTCCCCCCTCGTGCCGCCCAGAGATAACACTCTTTACTTCACAGCAGCAGTCTCTAAACGTACTGAGCAATGAATGATGCTGCTAAGGAATAATGGCAGTGAAAGCAGTTCAGGGAGGAAGAGTGAAGCCACATGAACCTTAGCAATTGCACTCTCCGCGTGCAAAGAAAACCCCTTGTAAACTTTTGTGCAGTGATGACACCTCTGACCGCTCTCAGGCAGCAAGGCTAGGTATTGGGAAATAGACTGAGAGAACAGCACTGTAAACCTACCCTGGTTTTAGCTCCTGGCTTTTGCTTCTACCAGGGCAGGATGCTAGGCTGGCTGTGAGGAGCTGGCATGATATATGATATGAGGACTTAGGCATGATGGATGGGGTAATAGTTTCTGTATAATCTGCTGTGTGGATCTGTAACAATACGGTACCATTACATTACTAAAAGCTATGGCATGATACAGCAGCTCATCTGTCCGCTTTCCCTCACTGACCAGGTGTTCCACAGTAATCCTGGTGTCTCTAGCAATCTCTGCTCTGACCTTGCCCTCCAGGTCCTGTGTAGGAGACCACTTAGGGTTAGAAGCCCAAACTGAGCCTGAGGTGAGCTATGGACACAGAGGTCATGTCAATCAGACTTGACATACTCATCAAATTCTGTCTTCGGGAACATACCAAGAGAGAAAAACTAAATGACCACACTTGAGCATCAACTGGAGGGGAAGAGAGGCATTCTAAATATGAAGAAAGAATAGACAAAATCTGCCCAAAGTCTACCTCCTGATTAAACAAACCCTTTACAAGGGACCCAAGACCTCTCAGTGAGGGTCATTTCTGTTATATGGGTAACTAGTCAAGGCGGACACACATCATGCAAGAGTATGCAGGGACCTCATTTACTTGTGATTGCTGGGATAGAGCTGATGATGACGCTGGAAGAAGAGTGTTCCCCATTTAGCAGGAGCAGCAGCTCTTTCCAAGTGGCACCATGAGCTCCGTGGAGCCCTGCAGGCCTGCTATCTATCTGCTCCAGGCAGTGGATCTCCCCGCACAGGGATAGTCAGTTCCACTTGCTGGAGGGCTGCTCTTTTTGGTACAATTTCTGTTTCTTAGACACTGTTTTTGATGAGCTACAAAGCCATGCTCTTCCTTTATGCTGCGAGACTTAAGGCATCTATTATTCAAAGTCTGCGACTAGGGAAAACCTCTCCAGTGATCAGGGGAATGTGAAGTTAGGGTCATAGCAGTCTCTGCTTGCTTTTATTCTTCAGGCTAAGAACAACTCCCTCCCACACTCCTCAGCCAACAACAGAAACACTTTGGAAAAGGCTGGCATCAATCCGCACTAGCAGTTGCATTTTCAGTATGGCTGGTGATGCTCTGACAACTGCCCTTGGAATGTCGCCTCCCTGGAGAGTCACCAGGAAAAAGCCTCAAGGATATTGTAGTGAAGGTCCCAGGTATCCATGTGGATTACCTCCACACTGGTCTTGAGCAATGCCTATTTTGTAAATGGGTTTTGCATGTTTTTTCTGTGATAGGAAAGGAGGAGTTGAGTAAAACAGGCCCATTTGGGGGAACAAGAAGACATTTGCTTCCCTATTAGACCTGGAGTATTGCTCACATTCCATGGTTAGTGCTGGCTGCCATGCTCTGTGCTGGGCCAGCAGTGCATGTCACCAGTACTGCTGGGCACAGAGAACATTGCCCTGGCATGTCTTGTACCTAGCGACTAGTACCCTAGTGCCTAGGGAAGCGAGGGACTCCCTCATTTCCCCAGAGCTATTCTGGGATGCTACAGAACTCAATGTTCAACCTTTCATCTCTTAATACACAAATAAAGAAAACTAAGCCTTCCTTACTCTACTTTTCCTGCAATGTTCTATGACAGAAGGCATCCAGAAATTTATTGCAAATACTGTCTGCTCTCTTTTTGAGGCTTGAAAGGCAATTCAGTCTCTCATTTCCCTGTACAGGTATAATAAACCACACAGAAAACGAAGACATGTAGTGATAGGAGAAGGGGGAATGGCTTTAAACCAAAAAAGGGTAGATTTAGGTTAGATATAACAAAGAAACTCTTTCCTGTGAGGGTGATGAGGTCCTGGCACAGGGTGCCCAGAGGAGCTGTGGCTGCCCCATCCCTCGCAGTGCTCAGGGCCAGGCTGGACAGGGCTTGGAGCAACCTGGTCTTGTGGAAGGTGTCCCTGCCTGTGGCAGGGGGTTGGAACTGGATGAGCTTTAAGGTCCCTTCCAACCCAAACCATTCTGTGTCATTCTATGATACCTGATTGTGCTTACCATGGTGATCAAAAAGCCAATTTTCAGGTTTTTTGCATCCTGCGCATTCTCAGCATGTTTTTGCATGAGTGAAATTACCACGTTATAAGTTTTTGGTTCATAATCCATCACTTTGAAAAAATACTGAGGGTTCATTGAAACTGCACCTGCTGGGAAAGTGTTAATAGATTAATAGTAGCCACATAAGCCTATTGTATAAGATCTTGCTATGAACACAGAGGAACAGGTTGTTACTGCTCCAAGATCCTTTGAGAGCACTGTAGTCTCTCCATTACCAGGAGCTGAGGCATCTGGAGTTGAATTAATTGCACATTAATCATTCTAGAAATCTCTGGCGAAGTCATAAAAGTCATGCAGATTTCTCACCCCATTACATCTGCTTCACCTGCATGGCACACTTTCCCTGAGGCACAAACACAGTGATTCTTAATCGGCTGCCTAACCCAGTGGCTGAACTGAGAAGGGCTGCGGCTTGGAGAGCATTGTCAGTAAAAGAAAAAGACAAAATGGTCCAAAGCTATCCTTCCCTTCCTCCCTGTTATTGTCGAGCACAGAGAGAATAGGCTTTTTTTGGACAAGGTTTTGGTTAATAGGGACTGTTCCTGATAAGAAAGCAGGAAAATGTCCAAAATGGGGAAAAAAAGAAGTGAGATGGCAGCATCTGCTTAAACCAGTCTAGACTTTAAGCCATGTAGCTGTGTTGCATGGCCTTGAAAGCTGAAATTTAGCCCACTTGTTCGGACAGGAACTTTAGTAGACGGCTGATGGAAAACACAGCTCCAAGGAAAATAGCTCTGCCTGCATGTTCTCAACTTCAGCCCTTGCATCTCCTTCCTGAGTCCCAGTACCTATGGTGTGCAGCAATACAGACGTTGCTTTGTTATCTCCCCTTGAGACATAGTGATCAAGGTTACAAGGAGGAGGCTAAAACCTATAAGGCAAATCAGAATTTGCATTGCCAGAAGAGTCCTTGCCCAGGCAGTAAACCCAGAGGTCTTATCTGCCCAAAGGCCTTTCTACCCTTGAAAATAGAGCTTTGTATCACAATTCTTTCCTTTGATATCTATTTAATTTCAGAGTATTTCTTGCTCTGTAAAATCAGCTTTGCCAGACCAGACTTTCAGGTGAGATCCCCAGTAACAGCTATTGCAACTGGCTGAAAGACAAGCACATTTTGATGTAAAGAGTTCAGGGCTTCTAAATCACAGTTCTCCTGTTTTAACTCAGCAGCCGGCTCCACTGCTTTGTTTCTGCCTCTTTAGCTGATAGGTGCTGTAATGGGAAAGGGAGGTATTAGCAACTGGCAATCAATGTTTCTGCAATTCAGTGCTCAAAGCACATGTTTTAGTGTAAGCACCAGTGGAGAGGAGGAGAGGACTGGGTAACTGCAATGAGTGTTCATTACCTGAGGAATAGTTACTCCTGCCAGTGGCAAGGACTGGTCTCCACAGGTTGATGTGCCTCTCCAGACACCACGCTGTGCAGTGCTGATCTCCAAAGTCCAGAAACGTTGGAGTGTTGTTACATATATACAGCCAGGAAAACTGCTCCTGGAAGCTTTCACAGGACATCCTGCACAGAAGGATTGAAATTTCACCTTTCAGTCTGAGACATCGGTCAGGCATTCATGTTCACTCTCCACATCTTTAGAAGAGGATTACAGGGAGCGCTACAGGCTATAGCTGAGCTTGCTGATACTTCACAGAAGTCAGCTCTCAATGCTTTTAACTGCACCTGAAGCCCCAGGGAAATTACAGGGCATGCTCAGTGGTACCCAGGTGCAGCCCTGTTCATCTCCAGCACATCCCTGCCACTGCACTTTGCTTTGTCCCTCCGGTGTCCTGCCCTGCACTCATGCTTTGCTCAAGCGTCCAGTGTCTATCTTAGACCAGCCAATTGTTCCCCTGCTTTCCTCAGAGCCTCACAGAGCAAGTGTGCACTTTCTGAACAGCAGCAGCTCTTCTAAAGGATGATAACCGGATCTGGGAGTATTTGAGGCTGTGAAAAACCACAAGCAGCCAAGTGCACACAACCTAAGGTTCATAGAATCACAGAGGGGTTTGGGTTAGAAGGGACCTTAAAGCTCATCGAGTTCCAACCCCTGCCATGGGCAGGGACACCTTCCACTAGACCAGGTTGCTCCAAGCCCCATCCAACCTGGCCTTGAACACTGCCAGGGATGAGGCAGCCACAGCTTCTCTGGGCACCCTGTGCCAGCGCCTCAGCACCCTCACAGGGAAGAACTTCTGCCTCAGGTCTAATCTAAATCTCCCCCCTGTCATGTTAAAGCCATTCCCCCTTGTCCTGTCACTACAGGCCCTTATAAAAGGCCCCTCTCCAGGTTTCTTGTAGCCCCTTTAGGTATTAGAAGACTGTTATAAGGTCTTCCCTGAGTCCTCTTCTGCAGGCTCAACACCCTTAGCTCTCTCAGACTGCCTTCAGAGGAGAGGTGCTCCAAGCCTCTGATCATCTTTGTGGTCTCCTGTGGACTCACTCAAGCAGTTCTATGTCTCTCTTGTGCTGTTGCCCCCAGCTCTGAGCACAGCTCAAGCTCAGTGTTTTATGGGGAAGGACAATGTGACAAAATGACCAAGTCTCAGCCAGCTGGATTTTTACTTCTCTCACTTTTCCTTTTTTTTTTATCTTTCCCACCAGCTTGGTGCTTAATCCTGGCCAGCTCCATTTCTCCAGGTCTTGTTTCCTCTGAAACCATCAGGTCAGGACAACTGCCTAAATGGCTCTTCTTTTATAATGAATGTGAACAGAAACCTGGCAGAGAGAAGGAGCAATAGGGACATACCAAAATTCTCCATCATCCTTGTTTCTGAGGAGGGCTTCTCTGTCTTTTGACTCAACATGGTCCCACTGAGGAGAGCTGCAAACAGGAAGAAATCAACAAGCAGATGTGAAGCACAACTCTCCATCTCCCTGGCCAGCCCGTTCCTCTAACCAGCCCATCAAGTCATGAGGGATGAGGAGGGGTGAGCAAACTGCACATCAGGAACGGGACTGCACGTTGTATCTTCATACCCAAAGCCAGCAAACAGCTCTGCACCTCTGCTGTGCCTGAGTTGGCCACCCTAGGATGGGGAACCCTGACTCTGCCTTCCAAGCCCCAGTCACCTGTCCATGTGGTGGAGAGCTTAGTGGGTATCAAGGCAAAGCGCTGTGAAGTGCTGATATTACATTGATGTGTAGAGGGCACATTAGCCAGTCAAATGGGTTGTTTCCAAGCAGCATGTTTATAATTAAGAGTTAATTGTACTTTCTGCAGAGTTTAAGATAAATAAAAAGAGCACGAATCAATAATTTATTGATTTATGCAGTTTACCTGTGAATGTGCTTTACTGACATTTCTACTGCTGTTAGGATTACAGCTCACCCTTCCAAAGAACAGGAGGATTCTGTCTGAGCAGATAGCTATTATCCCAGCCCTAAACATGTCTGCACCCCCCGCCAACCCATCCAGACACAACACGCTAGCCTGACTTTTCTCAGCAGAGAAAAGTGATCCTAGCAACAGGGAGAGGCAGGATGCTATTAAATCACATGAGAGTGACACATGAACATCTCTCTAGTCAGGCAACCACTGATGCAATTCCACCAGGAAGACTAATATCTATTTATCTATAAAACACTGTTGCAGTCTTCCTCTGTATCATTCCTTTCCTCAGAAAAGAGCAGTGAGGTTATACACAAAGCAGCAAAGTGGTCTTTGCATCTCCAAAGCTGTGTGCAGGATCCAAAAGATCAGTTCAAGCCATACAGCAGCACTTTGCCTTTGCAATAACCAATGACCCTTTTTCTCTCTCTGTGTTCAATACTGCATAAAAATACTGCCCTACTCACATTGACTCTTCTAACCATCCTTTTCCCACATTCAGACTCATAGGAAGGGGAAGAAGGAGCAAGAAGGAAGATGCATGATTGCTGCAGGAGAATTCAATAGAAGCAGCCAGCCAGTGTCTAGGGAAGTGGCCAGAGCTTACTCCAGGTAATAACAACTCTTTCATCCATGACTTATCTGGATTTACCCACTGGGAAAAATGTACACATAGACAAAAAGGGATACCTGAGCTAGGCCTAGTGATAAACACATAAAATCAATGCTGCATTAGTTTTTCCCACATTGGATTTCTGTGGGGAGTCGCTTTGCAGATAGAAAGAACACTTATAATGAACTGATTTAGAAATGTCCTTTTCATTACAATGGATGCAATGCAGAGATCCTCTACAATAAGCCTATAAAAAGTCATCCTTCTTATGAGATTAAATCTTTAAGACCATACTTATCACTCCAAGCCCCCTTCCACTCCCCATGGCCCCATGGATTCCAGATCCTGATGATGTGTATCCACCTATTCTTGTAGCATATCTATAAAGAAAGAAAAATAAACTCAGTCACAGCTTTTCACAATTGTGATATTCAGTGATGAGGTGGATAATGAAAAGGATCTTCTTCCATACCTGAGACCTGCTTTAACTTCAGATCTCATTTGACTGCAGCTAAAAATCAGCGCCTTTTGCTACAGCATAAAGGAATGACATGTGGGAGAAAACTGTGCCCGATATGCTTTCCTGAAGACAGTGAAGAGCTGACACACAGGGAAGCAGCAGCATTCCTGCCACGCCGCATGACTTCAGCGGCCTTGGGAAATTCCAGTGTCTAATTCTGCACATCTAATGGTGTGAGTCAGCAAAGGCAGAAACTTTGGGGAGTGAGGTCACCAGACTGCCTGGAGTGAATGTCAACAGTGAGCATGAAGAGATGACGATAAACAGAACCTGCAGCTCTATATCTACAGCACTGTGGCTTCCAACAGCTGCGGTTCCAGTGCTTTTCTTGTCTTGATGTTACTGGTTTAAACCAGAAGCAACTCACTTGCACCAGTCAAAGTGGAAAGGAGAAGCAAACCTTTTGTTTCCAGCTCTCCTTATGCACACAGACAGTGCTGGAAACAAATGCCATGGCAGTCTCTTCTCAAGCAAAGGTCTAGCCTGTGGCCAGCCTCAAGTCATCCCACACAGGACACCCCCATGGATGCCTTGGCAAAGGGGCAAAGACTGTTTCTCCTCTCCGCACACATCATGAGCAGCACCATGCTGAAACAGCCTGCTTCCTCTCCAATAGCATTCAGGATCCTTCCACCCCTGTGTTGGGGAGAACCAGCTGGGGCTCTCTCTGTAGCCCAGCAACCTTTATCCTTCCATTTTGGAGCCTCTTGGCTACAAGTCCTCCAACAAGAAGCACGCTGACTGATCACGGCACACAGCGTGCCATGGCATGTGGGGCTATGAACCAAGCTTATACAGAAAATCATGGGAAGAAGGGAGAAAATAACTTAGGTAAAACAATGTCCCCTTTCCAGAGTACTTTAAATTCTGAGATTAAAATGTGTTTTAGCTCTCTTGCTTGATAGCACTGCCACTGTTTGGTTTCCTTCTTGGCCATGCTCACGGTTAACTCTCCCTGTGTGCCCTACAGCTTACTGGGGTAAGCCATGTTCTGACTTCTGGCTGTAAAAAAAACCCTCTCATTTCTTTTGATCTGTGTGATAAATGGGTCCTGCTTTCAGATCAGCAATATTAATACCTAGCCAGGAGAAGTTCTGCATGAGTAGAACAGCTTTAAAAGATGGAGAAATGCTGTTCCTGAACCAGTGAGTTATTTACTTTTCACACAGTGATTTTTGGCAGCTTGTGATGGAGCTGAACAAACGTAGACCTGCATTATATGACAAATTCCACAGTTTCAGCCAGTGATTCTATTCCCATTTGAAAAGGAAAAGTGAATTTTTCAAGAGTCAGCATGGAATGCAAATCCCTGGAAATGGCTGTATTTGCTGTTGAAGCGCCCTAAAACAAAAGTGAATTAAAGTCGCATTAGAAAAAATAGATTTTCTCCCTATTCCCATTGTGCCAGAATCCTTCCATCTCCTGGAATCTGAGTTACGTGCTTTCAACAACCCCTCCTAAGTGTGAAGCTAATCAAAATTCCTCTGAACAGAGCAGCAATGTGATTGTCCTGTAGTGGATCACCAATACAAGAACAAGTCCTTGATCTTACCTTCTCAGCTCCAGTGACAGTGTAGGCATGACCCTGTACAATCCCATTCTTCAGCTCTATATTCCTCATGAGCTGCAGAAGGGAGAGAGCACAGCTTTTAACTCTCTGCCACACTGCAGATGTATGGCCATCAACCCCCACAACTGTCACTTGGCATGGCACAAAAACACAAGACTTACTTTTGACTACAGCATCATCTCAGATACTCTGGCTCCAGAGGAACGTGACTGTTGGTTCCCACTGCAGCCATAAGCAGGTCAGTAAATTTAACAACACTACAGGTCCTCACATATTTCCAAGTTCTTCAATGGACCAGAGCTGCTGCAACTGCAGAATAACCTGGACTGGGTCACTGGCAGGATTTCTCTGCCACCCACAGCCCAGTATCAGCCACCTGAGCTGAGGGGCTAATCCTTGGCTTGTTTGGAAGACAAGCTTCATGTCCCAGTGAAGCAGGCAGGCACTACATGTGCCATATATCACACTTTGCAGTCTTCCCTTACATGCTGTAAAGAGAAGCCTTGGCAACCTTTTAGCAAGACACTTGCTGAGCATCACAAAGCCTTTTGCAGCTTCCCAGCAGTAACACCTGTAGCCTGCAAATCACAAGGCGATAACAGCATCCTCTCACAGAAGAGAGGTGCATTTTGGCTTTGCTAGAACCAATCACAAAGCTGGGAGGTCAAAACCAGTCCTGCTGATAGAAGATACCACTTGCAGTGGAATTAGCCAGGAGAGAAGCCACAGACCCCATTCTGACAGAGCAATCCATCTACACATCTACCAAAAGCCTTTATATTCCTTACTGCATAACTGTGTCTACTTTCTGCTGCCAAGATCTCTCCAGGCATCCATAGACCGTAGCTATTGCACAGAGTGATTCTGGACTTCCTTTTTCAGTAAAAGGAGCAGCCTTTATGCACACATAGTAAGCCAGGAGACGGATGCTACTGGCCCTGTGACTCACCTGGCCTGAGGTGCTACACCCCATCAGACAATGAGATTTGTCAGCTGCCTTCAGTATCTCATGCAGATCAGGAGGAGGATCCTTCAAGGAAAACTGTACTTGGACTCCACCTGTGAAGTCTACTAAAGCATCAGAAGGGTAGCCCCCATGCAAGTGCTGGTAGGAACCCTGCAACCTGAAAGAAACCAAATCCCAAGAAGTTAGTTAGTCCTCACACTCTGTTTTAATAAACAATGCACAGTGATGGCTTTCAAAATGGACATGCACATCAAGGTGGTGAGCACTGGGTATGTAGACACTGGGACCAGTTAATGAAAGGAAACATGACTGAAATACATGGCCAAGCACAACACACACTGTGGAACGAATGAGGCAGAGGGACTTTTTCCTATGTATTCATCCACATGTGACACAGCTGTCTGGAGCCATTTACAGACAAAGGAAAATAGTAAGGTGCATCTCATGCCAATGAAGACATGATATGGGATATGAGCTGCATCGCATCATGAAATACCCAGTTTCCTTCTTCTGAACAGGAAGGGAGCCAAGGGTTGAACAGTTCAGACGGATGTTTCAGATCAAACAGAGCTGAACTCTTAGTTTCTACATCATATTTTGTCATGATTCTTCACAAAAATGGCCAGTATCCCTTTGCAAATGCAAAATAGGAAGAAGAGAGAGGTGAAGGTATTTGCCCATGCTCCCAAGGCAAGACAGAAATGAGGTTTCAGCACTGTTCCGAATTCACTCTGCTAGAGTGCAATAATAGGATAATAATTTAATATTGCCACCACAGTCCTTGTTGTTTTTATCGTGCACTTTTTATTGAGACAGCAAATAAGCTGGAACATGCCGTACTTAGAGCAGGTAGAGCATGCTGTTAAACCCCACCATACACACTGTATTTAATGAATGTAATCAAATGAAGTCTGCAGCTAATTGTATTTTGAAGGGCTGTCCTTGTCCTACACTGATGAAAAGAATTTGTCATGGGCACCGGGGAACAACTTCTCAAATGGGAATCTTATAAACAGCATCGCTTGCAACTTTAATTTAATAGAGGTTTGGTTTGCTTTGTAATTAAAATCTTATGCAGCAAATTGATGCTGAATCCTGAGTCAACTTTTCTGAGAGAACTCTGGGCAAAATGTATCCTATTCCTGAGACGCCCAAATGCTGCTTTAACATTTGTTTGTTCCTGACCAAATCTGCCAAAACAATTAGCTCTCTTCTTCAGCTTCCCTTTACTGCATTGCAAATGTTACACCAGCTTGAGCTAGGGCAGGTGTACCAAGTTCTAGCCCTTTATACTACCCCTGGTACATGAATGTCTCTTCAGCATGTTTAATAATGGGCAATGTTACAGGTGCTAAGGGACCACACTCTGATCTCTTTACACCTCAGAGGATTTGAAAGGTGATTATCTCTTTATTAATCATCATTAACCCTGCAGTACTTTAGGGACCTCAACCAAGAGTCAGCACGCTCTGTGTGAAATGAGAGCTGACCAGAGACTCACTGGAGCGCATATGTTGTGCCTGGACATGTTCTTCAGCCATGCATCCTCTCACTGCCTGCTCCAAATGTCTGCATGGTCTCTGATTAGTCACTGTAAGCAGAGGCAATTCCAGCTTAGAGTTCACAGAGGAAAACACAGAAAGGAAAACAGGCAAAGTCTGCTTGAAGTAAGGAGGAGATGCCCAGCCCCTTTTGTGTCACCAGCCATTGCCCGCTTCATTTTACTCCCCAGGCATTAACATCCCAGAGTTGGACTGGGTGCATTTAGATCTTCCGCCCGAGACCAACAACTCCAGGTTGTGTTGGCTCTGTGTATGCGTGCAGCCACAGCTCCTTGCATAAGCACAGCACAACAATCACAGTTGCTAGCCTGAACTCCTCCCTGTATGCCTTGTGTAAAGCAAAGGGTGAAACCACATGTAGAGAGCATTCAGCAGTGGGTGGAAGAATAGACCAGGTATGTTTACTTGGCATATGCTTTTTCCAGCAAGGATGGCCAGAATTCATTAGACGTTCGAGGGTGTACAGACAGGTATCTTCCATTTAGGAATGGCAGCCGGTCATCTATCACTACATCCACCCAGTCTCCATATTGCCAGAACTGGAAATTAAGAAAAGAAAGAGTACAGATGAGCCCCTTTCAAGAGCTGATACTCATGTCAAGCAACAGCCTCCTGAAATAGCGCAGGAATGAATCTAAAACATGGATATGTGCAAGTTCTCTCCTGAAATGCTTCAGGCTAATTGTTAAACAAGCTCCCAAGTGGCTGGATTTCCAAGTGGCAAGGGAAGTCTTTTGGGAATATAAATAGTCCTGTAAACAGTGGGAGGAAGTATTAAACAGGGGGAATATGCAAATATTCTTGGGCAATAGGAAGCATTCGAGACGATAAAGAACAATCGTGCAGATGGTTCAGTGAGCCTTATTCCTTAGCTGCGCTTGAATTTTCCCCTGCAGCACAGCTCTTGGCCAAAGAGCCTCTGTCAAGATCCAGTCTCTAGTGTTTCTTTCCTTTGTGCTTCAGCTAAGACTCTGAGCTATTGTAATGGACAGGAACTGTGTACTGACTAAGGACTGTTTTGACGTGTTATCCATCTCCTTGATAGATGAGGAGGATGCAGGCGGTCTCTCCAGCATGTGGACAGAGCAGGTGTTTCTCCAGCTGATGAAACCTTTCAAGGGAGAAGATAGGGGAAAAGATGTTTTGGGATGAACTAAAGGAGCCATTTCCAGAGTCATTAGCAGATTAATGTAGCTTAGCATGATTCGCAATCATAAGAGGCCAAGCTCTTATTTGCAGTAATGCTAAGGACTCCTGTGGAAGTATGCCAGCAATAGATTTAGTCCAGCATGATTTTATTTTAACAGCTTTGGTCAATGAAAAACCTCAAAAAGAGCTGTTCTGTTAGAAAAGCACAAGACCAGATGTGCCCAGCAACAAAGCGGTTTATAGTCTGCTAAGCACAAAGCAGGTTTGATCCTACTCACATCCTGCCTCACCCCAGCCTCTCACTTCCTACATTAGTTGTGGCAGGAGGTGGCACAGTTGGACTCCTGAACTTGAGCTCCAGCAGTAATTGGAGGGTTCTGCTTGATTTTGGCAGGACAGGGTTTGAGAAAAAGCCTGCCACCAGCTGTCCTCAGCCCAAAAGGGAGACAGACAAAGGGAGAGTCCAAAAGGAGCTGCCTTTTCATCATCCAACATACTGTCACCAGTCAACACCAGCCAACAGGTCTGCATAGAGAAAAGGTGTGACATCCCGCCACGCTCCCCTATGGTGCTCCACGTGCAAGCCCAAGAGGTGAAAAAGGAAAACAATATGGAACTGCCCATGGGGATTAATGCAGTCCAAACCCACTGAGTGATGTTTTTAAAACCCCAGGTTCTTTGGCAGGGAAATGAAGCTTGGAGGCCTTCTGAAAACAGCATTATATTTTTCTTTCCTGGATAAAGAGAGCTACTTTGCCCTGACTGCCGCAGACTTTCAGATAGTGGCCTCATCTGAGCTCACAAAGACAGGAAAAGCCCCAATGGGAATGAAAAACCTCATGGAAAATCCTAGGATGCTCTGGGAGTGCAAGAGTGGTAGAGGAGAAGCCACTGTCCTGCATATGCCTTCAGAGAGGGCCAAAGCTTTCACTTCGAGGCTTGAGAGTCTGGCTTCATGGAATTCCTTTATACCCTCAGGATTTAAAGTACTGCAGCCAGGAATATGACAGTAAATGAAACAAAGAATTCCTGTGTAGGCAGGCTGCAAAGAGGGAAGTTCTTTGCTTCCACATTTGTGGGGAGCCTTTTAAATCAGGACTTCATTTTCCTGGGATTAGAAGAGAAGGAAAAACAAATGGACAGTTGCAAGATGACAATACTGTGTTGTTATTTCACCCCATTGTTTTCCTCCTTTGGCAGGATGTTGCATAAATCCAGTTCTGGAATTGAGCAAGGTGAAAACCCCAACAGTTTCAACCTCTCTTTTCCATGGTGTTAGAAGGCACCTTTTGGATGTGTCCTGAAACAGAGATCTTGACCACTTCTGTCCTTTAAAGATTTCATTAGGAACATTAGCACTCAGGGCAGATCCCCCCTGCTTTGAGCTGATGCACTGTGCCATACATAGTCCCTACAGCATACTTAGGTTTCTAACCAGGCTGAGCTACTGCTGCTCCCTGCCACAACATGTGGCACACCTTTGCCTCACAGGCATCAGAGCTTCCGTGGCAGAGAAAGTGATTCCTAGACAAACACAGGATTAACTTTATCCCTGGTGATATAGCATCAGTGTAATTATTCCCTAGATAAAAACATCACTCATCTCTACTACAGCTGATGAAGTGCTTAACACCTTTAACTCTTGCAGCTGAACAGCCAGTGTTGTGTAGGAAGACTGAAGCAGCCTGAGAAGCAACATGCTCCAGATCCAAAAAGGTGAAAAAAAGTTATAAGCTCAAATTATTATGCTAGCATATGATATGGCTCATCTGTGATTCTTCACTGAGCAGAGGACTGGTGGCTTAGCCTGTGGATGGCAGTAAAATATCTTTGATGGAATAATTGAAAGCGTTGTCGAGAAGCATTTCCATTCAGAGTAGCTTTCTCAGGGGTTTATTGCTCAAGGAAAGCCAGAAAGAGTTGCATTGATTTGCAGATGAGATGACAGTGAAAACATTTTCAAATACTGTAAGGTATTTATACTGCTTAAGATTTGAGGATTGCTCCTAACTAATCTTTTCAAAGCTCTCATGAAAGAAAATCTAGCTTGCATCCTTTCAATGTGTTTGAAGCAGACTGTTGTCCCTTTAGCTGGTTTATCTCATACAGTGCACCTCTGCATGCTGGAAATAGGCCAATACAGAAACATCTGGTATACCAAGGAGCAAAGGAACAGAGCAAAATTTAGGCTGCCAGCAAGATAATCCTCCTGGTGCTGCTCCACAGGAGGTCTCAGGAGTGAGAGAAGGCTCAGTGCCAGAACTCTTTGGTACTGAACTACATATAACACAACAATTTGTGAAAGAAGGGGGATGATGAATGGTTGAGTATCTACTGATTGTCTACATCCAGTTGAGCTTCTGGAACTTAACGGTACTGCAGGTGTTTCTAATCCCACAGATATTTGGTCCATTCAGATACAAGAAAGCAAAGCCTGCCAGTGACTATCCTGTCACCTCCCTGGGACACTCAGAGAATTTCAAGAGTGCTTCTCTCTCTGAAATACATCTCCTTTCAAAATATCAAAAGCCTGCTTCTCTGATTTGTCTCCAAGGATTTGTAATTTCAAGCCATTTCTGTGAGCTAAAAGGGCAAGGAAATATATGGGGAAACAGAAAATGAATCCAAGTAGATGAACAACACAGGTGTGGTGACAGCCATAACAAACTGTCCAAATCACAGCAGACACTAGAATGCCATCTAATGCCATACAGGTACACAAATGTATCTGAACAGCTGGTATCAGTATCTCCGGAGTCATAACTTTCAGAAAAGGTTTTCCAGTTCTCTGCAATGCGATTGCACCCCCTGGAGCATGAGGAATCACCGGAAAATTTGGGATTGTCTGCAAATATCTGAACTGGGAGTCAGCACTGAAGAACCACGGCATTCAAAGCTGTCAAGATCTGGGACTGCTGCTTGGATCCCTGTATAATCCAACCAGCCAAACCCAAGCAGTACCAATACAGCAGAGGGTACGTACCCGGAAATGAAAAATCCCAGCATAATCATTCTGGAATCCTTGATCCCTTGGTAAAACGTTTCCCAAAAATTGCTTCTGCAGTGTCAGGGAGCCCAGGGCGGCCAGCATCCAGCAGTCACCTCAAGGGAGATAAGAATGCAGTGCATTCAGTCGGTTACCACTGTGGACCATAACTAACTCTTTAGGAAGGTGGACTGCAACATCTGAGACATCCAAGAACTGGTTTGTTAAAAGAAACCAACGTTCTTGCATCTCCTGTCCAGCCCCCAAAGCACTGAATGCAGTATTCACCAGCAATGTCCACTGGGAACCCTGATGCCACCCAGCCATTCTCTTCTACTTTCATTCTCCTGTCTTTTGTGGTCGTGTTGAGACCTGCAATCTAGAATACTGTTTAGGAAATCTTCAGACCTTTCAGTGGGGTGAAAAATGGAAAGACATTTCTATATATAGGATAGTTCTGGTGTCCTCAACATAAAAAGGATATGGAACTGTTGGAACAAGTCCAGAGGAGGCCATGAGGATGATCAGGGGGCTGGAGCACCTCCCGTATAAAGATAGGCTGAGAAAGTTGGGGCTGTTCAGCCTGGAGAAGAGAAGGCTGCATGGAGACCTCATAGCAGCCTTCCAGTATCTGAAGGGGGCCTACAGGGATGCTGGGGAGGGACTCTTCATTAGGGACTGCACTGACAGGACAAGGGGTAACGGGTTAAAACTTAAACAGGTGAAGTTTAGATTGGATATAAGGAGGAAGTTCTTTCCTGTTAGGGTGATGAGGCACTGGAATGGGTTGCCCAGGGAGGCTGCGAATGCTCCATCCCTGGCAGTGTTCAAGGCCAGGCTGGACAGAGCCTTGTGTGATATGATTTAGTGTGAGGTGTCCCTGCCCATGGCAGGGGGGTTGGAACTTGATGACCTTAAGGTCCTTTCCAACCCTAACTATTCTATGATTCTATGATTCTATGATATGGGAGCAGAGCTGCTCCCAAAGACAAGCATGGTTATGGGCCAGGAGAAAAGGATGGAACTGATAAGGGTGCAGACACATGTTGGAGCTGTGCCTACTTATCCCAGAACTGTGACCCTTGTACATGAAGCATCTGCCCGATCTCATTTGCACCTTGTCCTTATATACGTAGCGGGCAGGTGTCATAAATAAGTAACAAGGATTAGAGCTGCAGCATTTGGGAATCCTGTTAAATATCTGCAATAAATTGTGTGTGGACTTGTGTGAGCCTGGATTGACCTGCAATAATTGTTTACTGCAGCTACCATGGTCTTCCCATCGAGCACTCAGAACATAGCGAAACAAGCACAGGTTATTGCTTTGTGCCAGTCTTTTCCAAACCAGGAATATGATCTTACCTATTTCTCCTTGCATGATATCAAATCTGCTAACTCCATCTATGATCAAATGAGGATTTCTCTGCAGTTCCTGGAAGAAGGAAAATGCAAAGAGCAGCATGAGTACCCTCCCGTGCCAGCAGTGTGTTACTGCCCCTTGGAGCCCTTTGCTTGCTTACCTTTTCCACATCTGAAAACTATTCCTCTTGAACCCTGATGTTTTTTGCCTGTCACCAACAGAACCAGGAGAGATACTCAGGCATCTCTTCTTTAGTCTGCTCAGCTATTCCTAGGGATGGGGCCTTGCAGCTGGGTGTGTGCTGAGCTTTCATTTGGGTTTCTCTAATGCTAACAACACATTTCAAAGAGGGCTCTGAGCCTGGCTATAAAATCATGCTCTTTCCTGAGGGAGAGAGGGGCTCCCTGTGTGGAAACACAGAGGTTTCCAAGCAGTGCGGAGCAGGATCTGTACTTCAGCTCAGCAGTGGGTCTAGGAACGTTTTATTCTCTGAGCCTTTTTTGTTTCTATGCAGGACTAAAACGGATCAGCCAGGGCTGCTCTTCATCACTGGTGAGGAAGCTATAGAAAAAGAGCTTAATCTCTGGCTGCAAAAATCCCATAGACCTGGCTGGCATTTTTAGTTCAGGGAGAATTTCCTTGCATTCCTTGAGTCTGGCTTGGGCAGTGAAGGGGAAATACTCCAGAGCCTGGTTAGCACACAGAAATATGAACCATTCTCCCATCTGTGTCTGCTATTGGTCTGGGATATCAGACTGCTCAGGTAGAAATGGCCCAAGCATCCTCTGTGATACCCTTGGCACACCCCGACTGGGTAAAGCTGTTTTGAAAGAGCTGTCAGCCTTAAATAGGAAAGTCATCGCACACCTAAGAAAATGAAGAGATAAAAGGGAGAAAAAACACACCATCTGAGTAAGAAAAATAATACAGCAGCTCGTCCTTAAGCAGGCCCTGGCATTTCTTCTCCCAAATCGATTTGACATGCTGCACAAAAATGAGACCAGCGCACAACGTGACTCGCACGCTTGCATGAGCTCAGCATTAGCAAACACTGTCAGGTTTCTGAAAGGGCTTCACGGTGATCAAACCCCTCCAAGAAGTTTCCCTGCCAGGAGAAGATACAACGCAATGCTGCTGCTCCAGGCTGGTGGACACATCATGCTCCCACAGCACTGCTGACACCAGGGAAAGCAGCCCTGGCAGGCATCTTCCTTGACAGATGCTTTTGTGTAGCCATCCTCACCTATCCCGGGACTTCAGGGATTTGTGGCAAGAGATTTAACAGGAATGGGTATTTTTGTTCCCCCATCATTTTTGAGGCTGTTGAAGTCTTAGCTGCCCCAGGTAGGGTGGCTGGGCTCTGATGAATGTGCTACAATGCAGAGCGGCCATAGGGGCAACCACCATATAGAAACATCAGCCTGAAACTGATGGGAAGACAGCTGCTTCTCTTATGCAGATTCCCAAAGAAAGGGCTGATGCTCTGCTCTCTCCTGGGACAATAAAGCTCTTAAGTGCACTGTTACAGAGACCACCTGAAAAGTCAGCCCATTAGATGCCTCAGCAGATATCCTATTGCCCATCAAGACCGTTAACTCCCCAGTAAACAAACAGGGATGGGTTGAGTCACTAAGCAGGTTCCTTGCAGAGAACAACCAGTGATTTTGTCTAAAAAAAAGAAGACATGATCTGAAGTCAGCCCCATCCAACATGCCTTGACTGTGCATACAGATGATTGTGGCTATCATAGGGGACAAAAGATGAAGGCAAACACTCTTGCTATAATCCTCAACCACAATACATTAATCTTTGTTTCCAGGAGGGGTCTACTCCTACAGATTCAGAAGCAGAAGCTGCGGAAAAGGCAGGAGGGGGCAGCAGTGGGGTATTGCAAGACCAGGTACTCAGAAGAGCTCTGGAAGAGCACGACCCCTGCAGTCAGTGGTGTCCCCTTGAAGGATGCTGTGTGGAGAGAGCCTGACCTAAACACAGAGGGTTTCTGAAAGAGTTTAGAGACGACATAGTTGTGCTGGGTGCAGTGCTTTGGAAATGTGGTCCTTCTCAACCAGGAAGAAAGGAAACCTCCAGTTAGCTCCTCTTCCTTCAAAGTCATAAAACACCAGAAACTATCATCTACTAGTGAAAAACACAGCTAAGCACATAGTTGCCATACACAAATCATAGAATCATAGAATAGTCAGGGTTGGAAAGGACCTTAAGATCATCCAGTTCCAACCCTCCCTGCCATGGGCAGGGACACCTCACACTAAACCATGTCACCCAAGGCTCTGTCCAACCTGGCCTTGAACACCGCCAGCGATGGAGCATTCACATCTTCCTTGGGCAACCCATTCCAGTGCCTCACCACCCTTACAGTATGCCTCGCTATTTGCTAGTCCTCAAATTGCACAACAAATAGAGAAACCACAGATTTAATTATGAATCTGTCCAGAAGCAGCCGCCTGTTTCACTGTGAAATTATGATGAGGCTTTGCGGCATCTTCCCTTCTCAGACTTCTCAGTTTTAGCCGGAGGGGTAAAAGAAGAGGAAGCTCAAGGAGACACATGGTTAATCCTCAGAGTTCCCATGAGTCCAGCAGTGAAGGCAACCATATGGTCTGCAAGTCAAACACTGCCTAAACTTACCCCCCCAGGACAAAGCTATCATCGCTGGCTTTCCCTGGCCCACTGAAGATTTCATTATGCATTCAGAATAAAAGAGAAGTTCAAGTTCAAACCACTTCATCCTCTGGGGAATAGTCTTACCACAGAAGTACTGTTTATCCAAAGGGCAAGATGGAGAATTAATTTAAGAGGTGGAAGGACAGTGCACTGCACCTGCATTTGCCCATGAAGTTCTTTTTATAAGTGCTTGAAATTCTTAAGGAAGAACAAGTCCCCAGAAGCTACAGGTGAGTAGTGTAGATGTAAGCCACATGCAAAGGACACAGTCAAACATTCCTGCGGAAAACTGGAAGCCCAAGGTGGGATTTTGTGGGCAGCACAAGTCAGTCTGGTTGCAGGCTGCTCCTCAGTATGGTGGTCTGGCTGTGGCCACTTTCCCCCAGATCTCCCCACTGGCCCAGCATGATCCAAGTGCAGGCTCAAGAGATGAAGAAGCAGGAGATGGCTCTTTGTACAGCACTCTCCTGATCCGTTCACCTTAACCCTACAGTAAAATCCCAGCCTGGCTTCTGTTCCTGCCACAGCACCACATCTTTCCCTTCAGCTGCACTTGCATCACTCCCTCCTGCTCCCACTCCACCTTCCTGACACATCCTGCCATGGTAAGCCGCAGTGTTCCCCATTTAACACACACGTTAAAAGAAATAAAAAGGCTGTGATTAATTGAAACCAAACTCTGTTCTCAGCTGGACAAATCTTAATTCTGCATCACTGATGTGCCTGGAATATTGTTGCTCTGGAACAAGAAGCACACACAGTATTGCAGTTCCCTGGGCTGAGGGAACATGACTAGCAGTGCACTGAGGATTGGTCAGACACACCATTACTTACGTCCCACAACCACAGGAAACTCCACAGGGTAACTAACACAGAAACAAGGTGGTTGGAATGACAAAGGAGGGAAGAACAAAGGATAAACTGTGCTGGCACACACCAAAGGTCTGCCTGTTGCAATGACTTGCCTCCAACAGCTTGGAGAGAGAGAGAAATAACCAAGCAAGCTGAAACTAATGCTCCTCCTGTATACATTTTCCCACTCTCACCACTTGGAGGCTAAAGGACTTCCCAGGCTGAAGGCTTTATCCACAGTTTAGTGTTTTTTAGGCCTTTTGGGAATTGGGAATCTGCCTAATCTGTTTACTTTTGTAAGCTCATATTGCGTTTTTCTTTGACATTCTCTTAGACAGGAAGAACTGGGCTAATCTCAAGGGTTTTGCTTGCACCACCAGAACTCAGCTCCCTGCTTTACAGCAGAATAGCTCAAATCCTAATTACCTGCGGTCAATACAAATGCCTTAGTTGCTTAAAAACCCCTGCTCTGCCCCAGCTCGCTTTCACAATGGAAGATGGAGGTTGTCAGGCCCACACATGTAAGAGCAGAGTCCTGTTGGAGGACAGACTGGTGTGCAGCAACCAGCAGGAACAGAAACCAGCTCGGATTTTACCTGCAGTCGGTTTGCTTTGTGTGGCTCAATGCTAAAAAACAATGACAGTTGCAAACACAGGAGGTAAATACAACGGAGGGAAACAAGGGAGATAGACCTGTCTACCCCAAGCCTTTGAGAGGCGGTTTCCTTACTGCTCTTGAAACCTCCCACTTAGACCATACAGTACAAGCTGGGTGTTACCAACTGTTCCCCTGTGGTCACCACACCACAACCGTACAATCCTGGTAGCTGAGTCCCCAGCCTGAGAAAGAGGGAGGCAGGCAAGACCATCAGAGTGCTGCTTCTCCCTTAACCTGGGATCCATGCATTCCCCCTCCACACACACACACACACATAACCAGCCCTCTCCAAAAATCAATAGATCCAGGAGATACTATGCAAATAAACCCTCCTCATTTAAAGCCTGTGCAGAAAGATAGAGGTGATAAATGGAGATGCACTGCAGCTTCCCCGGCTGAAAGATATGAACTCCGAAGCTGAGGTCAGATGCAATCAGCCGAGTAGGCAAGGGCTGACACAATGGCAGCCTGGAAACGCTGTTCAATTACACTGATTGCACGCACACCCTCAAAATAAGGTGAATTGATTTTGATTTCCATCAAGGAGAAATACTGAGCAGGATCCAAGGGCCCTGTGGCTCCTGGGAAGCACTGGAGCTGTGAACTCCATCAGGAACAGCCGGCAAGCAGCTTTGGCTCATGCCAGGGAATGGCCCCAGGTTGACAGACTTGCAAGTAGCGCTATCCCTCATCGCTGCTCATTTCCCGTAACTTGCTTTATTAAAGCACTCATGTGACAATCTGTATTTCGCACTCCCACCCCTTTTTCTTTAATATAAGAGCTGTTTTTAAGCTAACTACAAACCATTGTCTGATTTCTTGCCTGAACCAAACCTGTCTTTTTCTCCCCTCCAGCTAGACAGGCCAAGGCTGATGCAGTAGGAATTGCAGCTCAATTTATGTGTCTGGAAAGATTTTGACTTCTAAATGATTTTTTTTTCTTGTAAAAGGATCCATTTTGGCTTAGTCAGTTCCTGGGTTCAAAATTCCTTCATGCTGATGGTATTTTCTGGGAATTTAATAAAATGCCAATGAACAAATAATCACCAGAAGCAGTGCAGAATCACTCGGGTCCTGACAGGAGGTTACATTTGCTTTAGGAAGGGACAGAGGAAGGGAGGAAAAAGTGTGAGGAAGCCCTTCTGCAAAATTACTGAATCAAATGACAAATCACTTTTCCCAGCAAACAAGCACTGGCCCTAAATGTGTCATTTCCCCAAATGCTTTTCAGATGCTAAGTGCAGCACAGTTCTGAGCCTCTGCTAAGAAAAAAGGGTATATCCCTTGCTCAAGCTCAAACTAAAGTAATCTCCTTCTGTGGCTTCTACCCAAGGCCACAGACTGGTGGACTTCTCTTAGACCCTATTCTTCGCTTCCCCTGACACCAGATATGAGATAAATACCCAAGAACTCCATGCCCTGATGCTGTGAACAGACTGTGATGATGCAGAGGAAACCCATGTTGGCTACTTCAGTCCTTTCACCACACACACTCCTACAAATTGTATCAGAGGCACTCAGTGATTTCTCTCACGTTGATCCAGGCCTGTCTACCTTGTAGCTTTTCTCTCTCTTCTGGTTGCCTCCCAAGCATCACAGTCTGCGTTAAGCAGGGGATGGACTTTTTTTGCTCAGCAATCCCTCCCTCCATAAGGGAGCTACAGGGTCCTGAAGAGACAAAGGGTGAGCAGTGCAGGAGCAGTGGCCTGTGACCTTGAAGACTCCAGAAAAATCTTCAGCAGCTTCACCCTCTGCCCATTTTAGTCTTTTTGTAAAGCATAAGCACTGAAGATTAGAAACTATCCTTAACATTTGTAATGGGTATCGTATCGAGCCAGCGGTGGGCTATCCCTGATGCAGGGGCTGATTGAGTACATGGTTATCTCCTCTCACACATAGAATCATGGAATGGTTTGGGCTGGAAAGGACCCTAAGATCATTATTTCCAACCCCTTGCCATGGGCAGGGACACCTTCCACTAGAGCAGGTTGCTCCAAGCCCCGTCCAACCTGGCCTTGAACACTGCCAGGGATGGGGCAGCCACAGCTTCTCTGGGCAGCCTGTGCCAGGGCCTCAGCACCCTCACAGGGAAGAACTTCTTCCTTATATCTAACCTAAAACTCCCCTGTTTAAGTTTGAACCCATTACCCTTTGTCCTATCACTACAGTCCCTGATGAAAAGTCCATAGCAGCCTTGTAGGCCCCCTGCAGATACTGGCATATACTACATTCAAAAACATAAGCAATGTTAGCAAAGGTAAAGCATTCCACATTCAATACCACTACAATTCACATTGTCTGGATCATCCTAATTCAGTTTCTTTTTGCATTTGTATAGTACTATGCATTATGGTCAGAACCAGAGTGAAATCTTTAGCCTAAACCTTAACTGATCAAAACTGTGTATTCAGCAGCAGCAGAACATTCCATGACTTCCTCTGTTCCACTCAACTGCTTGTGTGAAGGAAAAGCACAGAAGTTCATTTGTTCTGAACATTTCAAAAGAAGCCCCTCAGTTTTTTAAATCTGACATAACTCTTCAAGGAGAATTTCCCTTTGGTTTGGCTTTGGAAAGGCCCAGCTATAGAAAATAATCTGTTCAGTTTAAAATAGAACTTCCCTTCCACTCCTCAAAACTGTAGGTGAACCAAAAGAACAGCTAATTGCAGAGCTCCTACTGGATCTGGTACCTCCAGCCCCACTTCTAGTAATGTTTGAAGTACCCCATGCAAAATCTCCGTTAGAAATTGCACACGTTTTAATGGACATAGACTGAGGGCCTGGGGATGAAAACACAGCCTGGAACAGTCTCCATGTGATGGGAAACTGCAACCACTGCAGTTAGAGGTGGCATTTCAGATGTTGTCCTGGTGCTCCTGACTCACGTCTCCCTTCAGAGACTCCCATACTGAATCAGCTCACTTTACAAGCCACGTGCTATAGCACCAACACAGATGGAAAGTGCCTTTAACCTTTGCACACACAACTTCTCTGATACTTCCAGGCCCTGCTGCAGCAGCAGGTAGTGAGAAATTCGAGCCTCAAGTCCCATCCCTCTTACCACAATACTCAGCCACATCCCTGTTGGTGTCCAGGTTGTAGCTTCTTCTCCATCTACTGCTTCACCACATCACATTCCATTTACACCAAGGCGGGGGCTTCCCACCTTTCCATTCAGGCATCCGTATTTACAGGCTCTGCAGGCTCCCTCTGCTAGCCTGTTCCCCTTCTGGAGCCCATGGCTTTCAATGTCCATGCTGGTAGCAGCCTCTGATGCTACTATGCCATGGCCACCACATTGCCAGTCTTCAGTGTTGCCCTACTTGCGTCTGCCACCTAAATAAATCTTCCCCAGTTGTCTTGTTCTGTCTCTCACAGTTACTCTCCCTATCCTGGGGGTTTCCCTCAGGAAGAAGGACTGGTTTGCTCCAGCCCAGGGAAGCCAGAGGCCCCAGGCACCAGTGCTGTGCTCAGAAAAACCCAGCAAAGGAGCAGCACATGGCAAACCCAGTAGCTGCATTAGCAGCAAATGGTACATAGCAGTGCTATATAGCACAGTCATGGAAAGATTCCCTAAAGCAGGTCCTAGGATAAAAGGGCTGAGTATGTGATTCCACCTTCCAGTTTAAACATCCGTATGCCAGATAACGACAACTGCCTACTAAACTGCAACTGCAAATCAGCAGATAAACACACTTCATCTCATGCCTCATCCCAATTACTTTAAATAGGTATTGCTGAGTCAGTGGCTTTGATTACAGAAGTTGGAGATCTTTAATAGAATTAGACAGCTTTTCAGGTTTGCACAAAGTCCCCTAGAAGCAGGTCAAAGTGGGAGCACTAGTTCTAGTCAGGTTCATTGTTGGAAACAAGCTTCCTATAAAAATGCACCCAATGAAATCATTAATGTTACAGAGGTTATCTTTCCTCCACACATCCCACTTCAGGAATCCCCCAGGGGTGTGCTCCCAGTGGTCTCCTTGGGGTAACCAACCTCCCTGGTTAGCACAGATCTCCATCCCTAAGATGAAGGCCTTTAGCCCCTGGCTATCAGTGCTCCCATTCAGCAGCAGGGCTATGGAACACCCAAAATGGCATAACTCACCGTTGGCCTCTTCCATTGTATTTGACGCAGCTTATCCTTTGGGAGCAGGTTGGGACCGATGGAGCTGACATGAGCAGGGAAGGTGGCATCCTCAAAAAGCACTCCTTGGCTCAAACACAAGGCTCGCAGGTGGTTGAAGTCCTGGTTATTAAATTTCTTCAGGTTCTGGAGGCTTCCCGTTGTCCCTGCTGCTTGCCAGCCCCGCTCCGACGTTAGACCAGAGCCAGGGGCAAACATTGTGCTCCTTTCCTGTGAAGGGGAGACATAGACTGCTATTGGTTTCCTGATCAAAAGTGGTGCGCTAGGAGTGTGTGGGAAAGCAAACACCTCCCCCTGCCCCCGAGAGTTTGGTGCTTGCAAAGCTGAGGGCAGTAACAGTGACAAAATCCTTATTAGCTAGAAATGCATGAGGAAAGAGTTGTTGTCAAATCCCAACTGGTTTATCTCAAACCAGTGCTGTCACTGCTGCAAGTTCAATTTTGAGTCTACCCTGAAGACAGGAAGCAAAGCTGTTAACAAGCCGCTGTGTTAGCATTGAGGTACATCTGCAACACAAGTGAGCATGAGGGATTGAGCAGGAGCTGCAGATATAGGGGAAGATGGAGGTGTGTGAGCAGGAAGGATGCTGTGAGGTACCCAGGGCTCTTCTGGCCACGTATCATGCCTGTGCACATGGCATTTTTGAGTTGCTTTATTTCATTTCCATGAGTAAATGCTTGATGGACTTACCTTTCCTTGGGATCTGCTCCATCTGCTCCAAAGACCCATGGGGGTGGCTTCCAACCAGCTTACACAGAGAACCCACTAGACTCCCTACAGTGCTGACATAGGACCAGCAGTTCCTGCCCACGGCTTCCACTTAAGATGTATCTTCTCATAAATTAGCACTAGAAGATCCACCACATGCCCTGGGCAAGCCACTCCTACATTTAATTAACCAACTTCACTGTGTTAATTTCTAGCCTGGAGTCACTTAGTTCCACTTTTAAGTCACAGGATGTCACATCTTTCCACTCCCTCCCCCCTTTTCTTCTATTTATTTATTTATTTACAGTTTTGGTAGATGAAAGGCTCTTTCCTACCAAACAAACTCATCTGTAGGTCCAAGATGTTCCTAGTGCAGCACAGAGAGCAGATGGCTCCAGTAAGAGCAAAGCCTCAGATTTGTGTAGGGAATCATTCACACATGTGAAAAACACACTGAAGGTGTGATACAGCCCCCCCCCACACATGTTTTTTCTTAGTGTAATCCCCATTCTCTATCCTTCAAGTCACTTGGCCTCCTGGCATTGTAACAACAGCATAGAAAAAATAAGGAGTTTTGCATCTCATTGTTTTAATTAAAAGCCCCACAAAAAAAATCAGATAGAATTCAGAAACCTCCCTCGGCCAATAAGAAGAGAACGTTCCCCTTGGGCTTGCATTTTTTAATACAATGGAAATAAATCTCATGTAATGTACCATAACACGACAAGGGAATGGCTTCTTCTTAACAAATACTCATTTGAAACTGTGCCCAGGCCCCATGCATGCTAAGATCTATTTCTTGCAACAGCGTTCCAGCAAAACTGATTAGTAATTCCAAAACTCAAATTAAAACTAGCAGAGCTTGAAGGCTGGGTCTGACACACGTTCCCTCTCTTCTGACAGAGAACAAGAGTTTTTAGCGTGTGTATGTGTATGTGTTTAATTGCGCTGTTTAACATATCCGGAATAAATTAGCATCCAGACTGAAGAAAAGAGTACACTTAACTGCTTCTCCCTGGCAGGGATAACTTTATCAGCATTGTGTCTGGGGGCACACATGCACAGATACACAAGCAATATATCCATCCGTGCCACTGTGCAGGCAGCGATACCTAGTCGGCGTTGTCCTGCCTGCACCAGCACGCTCTGCCAGCCACCTCGATTGGAGGGGGAAGCATCCTGAACCCTGGCCACAGCCCTCTCCTGGTTAACCCTCACGGGTGCATCAACAGCAGCCTTTAGAGGAGAATATTGCCTACCTGGCAGGGGGAGCTTCTTACCCTGAGAAGCTTGAGACAGAAAGACTTTAAAGGGACAAAGTCATGATGCAATAGGTCTCAGAGGCATTGCCCTTGGACCGGTCCTTGCTACAAGATGTTGGAGGAGATTGGGAAGGATTTCAAACACTTGCAAAAGCTGGTGTCAAACATAGAATCAAATAATAGTTTGGGTTGGAAGGGACTTTAAAGACCATCTAGTTGCAACCTCCTGCATACACATCTTTTGGGTACAAATGTCACGTGTCACACAAACTCTGGAGAAGAACAAGAGACCGCCTCTCAGCTAAGGACAGAAATCATTATTCACAAGGGATTAAACATTTACTTAGTCCTGGCATCTCCTCCAAAACATTTATTTACCTGAAACCCGGAAAGGTGAAATCACACCCCAATTTGCATCTGCTGCTCTTTTTTGATTCCTCTTCCTTCCCAGCAGGGAGAGATTCGTTTTCTTGATGTCTGTCTCAGAGGGTCGAATTGTGAGGGTGGGGAAGGGAAGTAGAACAGTGGAAAAGCTACAGAGAGGATAAAAAGAGATCAGGTGCGACAGTTGGAAGGGATGGGAAAGAAAGGGGGAGTCCTTGAGGATATCAGAACGAAAAGGTTGGTGAACCCTGCAGAAACTAAACCTGGGAACGACAAACACCCACCATTTCCTGCATTAAACAGCTTAAAAACCAGCAGCAAAGGGTGTCTCTCGTTTCCCTCCAGCATTCATTCATGAAAGATGTCAAGCCACTATTATAATCAGGTACTCAATGGTGGCAAATGCTACTGACAGCTAATTACACTTTGCATAAAGATTTATGTCAGAGTACAGACATAATTTCCTTCAATGGCTCCTGATATTTTTCACTGCATAAAAAGTAGAAACAGGCAATTAGAAAAACATGCGTCTGCTTCACAGTGAACCCTCTCCTTTCCAATGATTTCTGAAATCATTTCCATTCCATGATGGCTCAGATGGCTTTCTGTACTTTAGGAAGAGCAGCTGAATTTTCTCAAACAATACAAAGAACACCAGAAAAGCCAAAAAGCCAGCAGCCCTTCTTTTCCTGTTTCCCCTCAAACACTCCAAACTATCAATCAAAGGTTTCATCTCACCCATAATATTCAATATATACTACAGTAACTCAAGCACTTTTTCCCTCTAAGATGCTGCTATTCACGTATTTGGAGCATTGTAAAAGCTTCAAGGAGTCAGCTCCAGAGCTGTCTTACAATGAAGGGAAGTGTGAGTTTGTGGGCTCTCCTTGCATTCAGATTAAAAACACCACCAGCAAAATGAGCAGGCAGAGCAAGGAGCTGAACTTGGGCATCCCAGACCTCAGATGGACAGCATCTCCTTGTACATACAATGTGTGAAAGCCTTGAGAGCACAGAAAATCAAAACCAAAGCCAGGCATCTGGCAGTCCTCCAGGAGATTACATCCCCAGTGGCATCTTGCACAACCTTCTGCTCCAAAAAGCCTATGAAATACTCCCTCCTGGCTATTTATTAAGTCAATTTTCTCCTCATTTTGCATACATAGCATAGGACAGTTCCAGATACCTTTTTTCTACCTCATTTAACAGCAGCCTACAGTAACTATAGAGACCTCCTCATCTTAGGATCTCCACTCCCACTTGATTCAATTACTTCTGACAACTTACCATTTTACTATGAGGCTCTTTCTAGGACAGCAAATTCATCTTTTCTTCCCCTCCAGGTACCATTAAGGACAGGGACTCTAATTTATTCTATCTCTCCAAGCGAAATCGTTCTCAGTGTGTCTGTGGTGCTTTCCCAGCACCATTACATGTATTTCACCTGCTTCATCTTGTACTAAGTAGAACAGCAAAGGGATGTTTTACCTGCAATGCCTCCGGTGTAACTCTCCAGCCAACACCAACAGTGACAAACCGGCTGGCACTACCCATGTTCTCCTTTATAGGGCAGCTTTTGCCGCGCCTTAAGTAAACGTAACTGAGGTTGAAATCAAGTTCAAGGCCAAAAGCAAGCAATCTGACTTGGGTGTAATAGTTTCATGCAGACATCATACCACGGGGAGATATATATACATCTATTAGCCATCCACAACAAGTTACCTATCAATCCGTGTCAGCTGACAGATCCCTGTTAAAGTTATGCTTATTAGAGAACAGGATTTGTTTGCACCTCCCACATTTTTACGTTATCTGTTTTCCTCCTCAAACCATCAGGAAATGCAGCAATCTCCCTGGATCCAGGCACAGCCCGGCAGGACTCACCAGGAGACGAATTATCAGAGCTGTGTGTCATTCTTTCTGCAGCAGCAAAAGCAGTGGATGCTCTCAGGCTAATACCCGTTAGCATTTACACTGGGCTCTTAAATTCACATCAGTTCTCCCACTTGGTATTTCATTTCCTTCAGGACTGCTTGACGAAGTAAGAGTTATCCACATATTTAGGAGACCTAGGGGACCGGCCTTCATTATCCTAAAGCCTAAAGCCAAAGAACTAAAGAGTATCTAGCAGAAGTACGGGAAGGAGAAGGTCATTTCATTTTTGGAAGGCCAAACTGAGATAGCCTAAAGAGACACAAAATTCAAGGGAATGAGTGCGGCCCATTCTCAGGGACACATTCCCTGGCAGCAATCCTGAGTGTATTCCTATAGCCTGTAAATGTGTTTTCGAAGGAAAGGGACTCGATGTCCTGGTGGACAGCAAACTAAACAAGAGCCAACAATGCGTCCTTGCAGTACAGCAAACCAGCAGCATCCTGGGCAGCATGAGCTGCAGCATAGCCAGTGGGTGAAGGCAGGTGATCCTTCCCCTTTGTGCAGTGCTTTTGAGGCCGTTATCTGCAGTGCTGTGTCCGCTTTTGGGCTGTCCGGTGTAAGAGGGGCACTGAGAATGCAGCAAGTCCAACAGAAACCCAGCAGGATGGTCAGGGAGCTGGAGTACATAGTGTGAGAGAAGGGGCTGAAAGAGCTTGTCTGCTCGTCTACGAGGAAGAGACCTAATTGTAGCCTCCCACTATCCAAAGGCAGTTACAAAGAAGGTAAAGCCAGACTCTTCTTGAATGGAAACAGCAGACAGGCTGAGTCCTATTGACTCTGCACAAACAGCAGCGAGGAAAATTAACACAAGGTTGGAGTAAGGAAAGTCTTCAGGGTGGTTTAGCTGAGGAACAGACGCCTGGAGGGACTGGAACATCTCCACCCCTGGAGACATTCAGCTGATCAAGGCCATAAACACTATCACCTAACTTGGAAGTCAACCCTGCTGTGAGCTGGAGTAGGAGTCAAGGGCCTGCTGAGATCCCTTCTCGGAGAGCTATCTCTATGCTTCACTGTTTCTGGAGCTTCAGCATCCAGGCTGGCTGGGCCACATGCAAGCGGGACACAGCAGTGGCAGCACAGAAGCTCACAGAGGTTGCAAAGGTCGCTTGAAAACTGCTGTGGTTGGTACCTTCAAGAACTGCTTTTAATACCCAAGCCAGCAAATGGAAAACCACCTCAGGTTCTGGCTGCATGTACGTAGGAGGGTAGGTACTTAGCTCAAGAAATTACCTCTCTTCTTCAAGCTACCACAGCTTATTCATCAAAAGAACGGTTACTTTTCAGTGAGTGTTTATGGAGTTTAGCATCTGGATTAACAGAAAAATTCACCAATGCATAGTTCTTCCCTTACCCAAAGTGGCAGAATCACCTGATTTGTTCAGAACAAGACTTCCTAGCTGGACTGCAGTCTCTTTGAGATAGGATGCTAGCAGTTCCCATAGCAGCTGGTCGCTAGGAGCTAGGGGAGATGAGAACGTAAGTGCTCATAGGAAAGACAGTTCAGCTTCCTCATCAATATTTAGTTCTGTTCTGTGAGTCTACAAGCTGTGTACTGCATCCTGCCGACTCACATTTTAGGGCTTTTATTTCCTCTTGAGACGTCATCGTTTAGCAAACTCTAACAGGAAACACATCCGTGTAAATTAGAGCAAAACCTGCCCCAGAGAGCAAAACAGGTGCAGTTTTCCTTTAAGAGCTGTTTTCCACAACCACTACATAAATAAAAGCTGATTGCTCCCCCAGAAGCGGGGAGCAGAGATTTTCTTCATTGCAGGAAAGGAGCTCTGGGGTGATAAATGCCAGTGCTGCTAGCTCATCTGACAGCACGCGTGCTGTTAATCGCCTCTTCTCTGGAGAAACGGCAGGTATATTCCCCTCCAGGTATGGTGATTCATTGTCTGGAACTGATATCTCTGCTTAAATGGTGGATTAACATGATTTAAGAAATATTCATTGCAAAGTTGATTAGAAAGCACCATCACCAGCCTGGCAGGAGATTTCAGTTATTGCAGCATGGCACCACTCCGAGATTGTCAGCCTTTCTGCAGAAGGCTGTATTGATGTGTCCATTTTCACAGTGGCTCCAGAGATGGAAACCCATGAGGCTGAGGGATTTATGCGCAGTAACGAGCCTCTGGATTATTTGCTCTCCTAAAGTGTTTGTGGGACCCTGCTAGAGAAAAGAGGCATTTGAGTGAAAAGCAGAGGGACAACAGGGGTATTTTCTGCTAGTGGTACCGTACCTTGTGAGGTTGTGGCAGATACAGCATTGCCCTGACTTCAGGTTTGATTTTCCGGAGCAGGAGCATTAATCCACCTCAGGGTAGCCGTGCAGTTTAATCTGCTCAGGAGCAAAAGATGCTGAGGGATCACAGGAAACTCAGAACTGCTTCTACGCTGTCTGCTACCACCTCAGGGCTGTTAAAAGCACAAACAAAGGAAGGGCCCCTGTTGTTCAGACCTTCCCCTGGTCCAGTGGGCACCAACATCAAAGCACATATACCAAGAAGAGGTGCAGAACCCCTGTTTTCTGTTAGCATGGCTTATGAGGTCTCAGCTGCACCACAGAGTTTCACCTATTTGGGGATTTAACAAACCTTTATCCCTCTCTGCCCTGGAATAAAACAACACAAAAAATGCACAAACCACAGGATTCTTTTGAAAGGGATTTTAAACTAAGTATATTTATCTACTGCCCGCTTTAGCCAGCATTCCTGAGGGCAGGCTGCTGTTCTCTGTAGCCAGCAGCAAGTTTTCTATCATTTTCAGGGAAGGAGGACAGCATAATGTTTTCCAAGTACTGGTGGGAGCTTTGGCATTAAGAAAGGCAACTCTCCTCCCTCCGCCCACAGAGCGTATGTACCAAAGTATTAGAGATTGCTGTCTTCTGCAACATTTCAGACATATGTCTTCATTTCTTATTTCTGTGGCCTTTACCCCTGTGAAGATCACACTCGTTTTAGCAGAAATACTCCTAATTTACACCACGGTAAGTAAAACAAAAAGGCAAGGGATTTTTCTAGGGTAGTAAACACCACAATGCGTTGTGTGAAGGGGGAATCATCCTTTAGTCCCCTTGACCTTTGTAGCAGTGATTGAGTGTCCCACTGCTTTTGCATTATGGGACTTACAGGAGAATGCTGTTAATCCATTTCATTTCCTCGTTCATAATTCTGTATATAGGTCAAGTGTTACCATTTATTTGCTTCTCTCAGTCAAGATGCAGGGAGGCTGTGAATAATACTGTTCATAGACAAATCTCCTTTGCTCTACTTTTATGCACTCATATTTCTGGCAGGACCTGCCCTTCTAAAGCACAAACTTTTACGACTGTATAAACTATCAGGCAAATAGCAAAGTCCTACTTCAGCATCTGTTTTCACCCAGCCCTCACCCACGAGCTGCCCCTCGGTGCAAATTCACCACGAGCTGCAGCACTTTACCATCCTCACATATGAATCATTTTGTTCCTAAATGAAGTACAACTGCTGCTGGAGTGAAATGCGGCAGCTGCTTAACAGTATATAATAGAATCATAGAATCGTTAGGGTTGGAAAGGACCTTAAGATCATGCAGTTCCAACCCCCCTGCCATGGGCAGGGACACCTCACGCTAAATCATATCACCCAAGGCTTCGTCCAACCTGGTCTTGAACACTGCCAGGGATGGAGCATTCACAACCTCCCTGGGTAACCCATTCCAGTGCCTCACCACCCTAACAGGAAAGAATTTCCTCCTTATATCCAATCTAAACTTCCCCTGTTCAAGTTTTAACCCATTACCCCTTGTCCTGTCATTACAGTCCCTAATGAAGAGTCCCTCCCCAGCATCCCTATAGGCCCCCTTCAGATACTGGAAGGCTGCTATGAGGTCTCCATGCAGCCTTCTCTTCTCCAGGCTGAACAGCCCCAACTTCCTCAGCCTGTCTTCGTGTGGGAGGTGCTCCAGTCCCCTGGTCATCCTTGTGGCCCTTCTCTGGACCTGTTCCAACAGTTCCATGTCCTTTTTATGTTGAGGACAGCAGAATGAATCCACATAGCCAGATCCTGCTGCCACTTGACTGAAGGGGGATTCGGTGTAAAAAATATATCCCTCTGGAGTCCTTTTTCTTTCCAGAAGGAATATCCACCGACTTCAGAACTACAGTGGGAAGTCTTCAGGAATAAAAATAAAAAGAAGGAAAAAAGAAAAAAAAACAGACAGCCTGCTACTGACACCCATATTAGCACTAGAATTCCCCAATGGAATATTTTTCCTTCAGAAAAATGCCAATTTTTCAAACACGAAAGCCACTAGCAAGAAACTTTCACCATGAGAAAGACACAATGCATCTCAATAATGCCGCTAGGCTCCGTTTTGAGTTTGGAATAGGTGCATTTTTTGCTTACGAAAAACCCATCACTTCAGGATCCTCCCTCTATTATCCAAAAGGTTTAACATTGCAATGTAAAAAAGATTCCAAGTGTTACTGCAATAGTTCACAACATTCAGGCCACGTTAGTTCACTACATTCAGTTATTTCTCAGGACATGATTTTCCATGAAATTTTTGACTTGGTTTTCCATTTGAATGAGGAACAGAATATGAAAGCACTTTGAATGTACTGAACCTCTACAAAATTGAAAGCCAAGTTTGGCCCCACAGCAGCTAGCACTGAATCATTCCAGGGTAAGAAAGGGTCCATCCCATCATCATGAGTAATAGAAAGCCATGACAGCCATGACATTATCCTTGCAAGTGACATGGATACCCTATCATCTGGTCATAACACTGCTGGTTTGCTTTACCAAACTTAGCTTCCTGAGCAGTTACTAGCAAAGTAAGCGCACTAAGTAAGTGAAGGAGCACTTTTGCCCTTCTCACTACGGTGTCCCCCATCTACCTCTTCATAAGTGGCTCTTGGGTTCCTTGCAGCAAGCAAGGACTCTGTTAAAGTCAGACTTTGCGAAGGGTGCATCAAAATGAAGTTCTTGTTTTCATCAGCATATTATCCCTTGTTTGGTATGGCTGCATCCAGCCCTTGTTAAAGCCCTGTAGGCATGAGATACTTTATTTCACGCCTTTTTGTTTTGTTTTTGTCTTAGTGTGAACAGATTGCAACAGTCTCACATTTGTTTGGTGTTTTGGAAGCATCCCTGCCATCCTCTAATGAAGAATCCTTGGCCTGCAGATTGTTCACAGACAGTTTACTAGAAACATTTGCAGTTCACAGTCCTTGCCTCAGTCTTTGCTGACTAGTGGCATATATTGCACAGCACAGCTTCTTCTTCCTTGACATCTTGTCTTTTGTAAGGCGTTAAGAAAGATGCACAGCTGGTATTCCAGTCATAGGCAACTTGCTGTCCACCTTCCATAAGACATTCAACACAGAGAGGTAGTAAGGACTGCAGTTTGAGACAAGCCAGACAGCTGCTTCAGTATTCCATGTTCTTCAGCCCATACTCAAACCCTGAAAACAGGGTTACCATCTAAACCAGAGCAGAGGCAGAAGAGGAATATGAAGTTAATTGTGGCAAACCCTAATACTGTCACAGTGGAAATAAGACCATGAGGTGGCTGGAAGTCACAAGCATAACATCTTAGCCTTGTCCTGTAAGAAGCCCTTGTGGCTCTTCTCCACCACGCAGTAAACATGTATCCTGACCATGTTGGCCAATATTCAAATATATTGGTCCCATGAAACCCAAACAACAAAGGAGAAACTGAATTAATTTCTCAAACTAACTCTCCCATCAGCAAATTTCTGGAAAATTTAAAAGATTAAAAACCCAACAGGCAGATGTTTTTGATGACTTTTGGCTGATTTGATCCAAAAGAATTGACCTTGTCTAAAGCAGTAATAGCCAAAAATACATACCTGGAAGGTACCTAGCAGCTTAAAAAGCAAGACTGTCTTGAAAGAGTTTGGAGAGCATGCCAAGAGATAGAAATCTGCTGATAATGTCTGAAAGAAGCATGTTCATCTCAGTTACCATGTTAGGCAAGACACATGTTAGGTACAGGTCTTCTGCCTCCAGACAGGGCAGCAGGTAGCTCTCCTTGCAGCCCCAGTGAGCATGGGCACAAGGCTCCTAGGATCATGCCCTGTTTCCCTGGAATACACAGGGTGCCAAAACCAGATATTTGTGGCATTTGGACAAATTCAGAATGTGCCCCACTGCAACCAGGAGTTACCATCCATTGCTCTTGATAACTGACACTCCACAGTCTCTCTCACATACATTGATCCCAAACTCATTCCCATTACACAGCATCTCCTCCTGCCCAGCAGAAGATGAGCCATAGCACAAGGCGGAGCGAGGTTTCTGTCATTACCCTGCTTTCAGCTGCTGCTAGAGCTTTGTGTGAAAAAAAACAATCCATGCTCCATACCCCCTCTCACTAGAGAGCCATTTAGTCTCTCTCTAAGAACAATTTTGGCCAAGAAAAGAGTCATCTCACAGCATTTGTAACAGCGTCAGCACTTGCCAACATCACAGGGTCGGGCAGTCAAAAAAACCCAACACCACCACATAAAACCAACCAAACAAGCCAAACCTAAACATAACCAGCCTGAGTATAGCCATTTTTTCTCATTCTGATGACTGCAGCCAGATGCCTCTGAACTCACCCATCTGACTGACAAGTAATCAAAATACTGCCCATAATAAAGGCAGTTCAGCCTATTCTTGAGGCTATTATCTGTGCAACACCCTTCAGTGGTGTTGCTTCAGCTCAAATCAAAAGAGAAAATGACCTCTTAGTTGAAAGGCATAGGAAAGGTGGCAAAGCCATCAAGAAAATCTCCAGCCAAAGTGGGCTCCTCCAGCAATTGAGACAGTTTTGTTTTCGAGGGCTGCAGTCAAGGGAGGAGTTAAAAAGCAACAAGAAGATTTTGCATAGAAAGAGTTAAGGGCTTTACTCGGATGAACTTTTAACACAGACTTGGAAGGAAAGACTGACCGTTCTTTTGCAATGTGGCTCTAGTGAGTGCTCTAGCGCCTAGGACACATAAAAGAATCAAGCCTATTTGAGCCAAAAGCAAAGACCATGTGGTGGAGGTCTAGAGATTAAGTATAGAATTTAAGGTATAGAGCCCAATGGTGCCCTCCCTGGGGCAGTCATCCTCAGCAGCACAGCATCAGGACTCAGCATGGATTCAGGCATACAAATGGCTAAATGCGTGTCGGAGAAAAGCATCCTCCCTGTGTTCTGCTGCCCAAGAACTGTGAGCGTCTGGCTGTGACCTGTATGAACAAATCCACCAACACATTCCGCTGCAGTGCCCTTAAAGACTTTACGTGCTTGCTCTCGTTTTCCAGCTTGTTGCCACAAGCCTGCTGTGCACCAGGCATGCTGGCTGGCGTGCCATTCCTCATGCTGGCCCTTTACTGTAACTTCTCTCCCCGCACTGTGCCGGCAGCAGGCTCCCATTATGTGCATGAGCAGCTCCAGCCCTGAGCTCTTTTGTCAGGATGAAAGTCTCTTCTCTGAGCTGCACAACATGCTTTGATAATGCAGGTCTGCTCTCTTGGCTCTGCTCTATCAGTATGCAGAACAATGAGGATTGGTGTTATAGCTGAGGTACTAATTAAATACCTTAAACAGATAGATAAGGCATTTAGCTAGGGCTCAGTGCACGTAGGGAGAGCACGGCACCAGTAGAGAGAACAGCATATGGTCCCTAGTGAATGTTTCTGACACTTCATTGACATTTCAATTAATGTTCTTCCCTGATTACCTATATTCTACAATGTATTAAGGAAGCGCATCACAGGCTGCATTTAACTTTTCCAGCCAAACTACACTATATTGCTGAACACCTTCTCCTGGGGGAGGAGAAGGAAGAGGACTAAATCCTAGAAAACTCACGTGGTCAAGCACATGAGGCTATGGGTCACAAACCAGGATAGAAACAGGGCCAAGATATAGAACAAGAATATAAATAGAAGGGCAAAGTCTTTAGTAACTTCTATGAAAACAATTTCATCCAGTAAGTAAGTGTCAAATGCAGGGCAATGCCTGAAAGGGAAGAAGGACGCTAGGAGTGGACAAAGCACAGTAAGACTGACCCCAGGGTGAGAGACTTGCAAATGGTTGCTCCCCATTCAGGTGAGCAAAACCGATGTAATACCATACTGTTGGGAAGCACCCAGAAGAGTCTGGAAATAGACTGGAAAACAACATGATAGCGCCTCAATTCCTGGTGCATTTTTAGTTTTAACTTTTTCTAGAACTATCAGAAAATCCCACCCCAAATCACGAACCTCAGTGTACCAGCACTAATATAAGAGAGGTTTCAAGATGGAGCAAGAGCTGAATGAGAGAGAAGCTGTCACATGCCCCATAGCCCACTTGATGAGAGAGGTCTCATCCTCCCCCCGTCATCAGGTGCTCCGATGCTGGTGAGCCATGCAAAAAGGCTGTGAGTATGGAGCAGAGCTCAGTGAAAGCAGCTCTTCTGACTCACTAATGGGAAAGAAAAGGCAACGCCATCCTCCCAGCAGCTCTCAAGAACAATCAAGGACCTTGACTGTGCCGCAGTGAACCATCAAAAGTTTGTTCCCCAGAGCAAGATGAGACACTTTGAACTTAAAGCAAACCAATGCTGGGACCATTCTGTACTGTCATGTTTTGCTTGCTAATGTGGAATAAGGCTTTGAGGCAATACTGGATCAAGCCCCTTGCCTCCAAGAGAAAACTCTGTATAAGCATGTGTGTGATGTGCCGAAATGAAGACTAAGCTATTTCTCTCCTGCAGTCTGAATTTCAATTACTGTGCTTGTTGCAGTGTACTGAGACCAGGCCTCACTAGCCATTAGCTGGAGAATCAAACTATAATGTGTTTGACTCAATATATGTCCTAGTGAGTGACAGAGAATGGTATTGAGGAGGAAATACTGCAGGCTGTGATGGATCAGATTCCTAGAACAAAGAATTACCTTCCTCTTCTCCACTCCCTTTGTATCCTCCTACCAAAGCACCAGGGATGGTCCAATTAACTATGGGCTACAGATAGCGCTGAAGCATCTTACAAGGAAGTCACAAAGATGGGTATCATACTAAATAACTGGATTGTCAGAGACAGATGAGGTCACTGCATTGCTGGGAGACAAAACCTGAAAATGATGTATATAGATACCCCATCCTGCAGCTCCTTTGGGGCCGCAGGATGCTATTTATTATGTGCCTCATACAGTAAGACTTTGATCCCTGACTGAAGCTTCCAGGACCTCTCTAATCCAAACAGTAATAACAAGCAATTACTCCATGCCAGAATGATAAATGATTAAAAACATTTTATTGTGTTTTAACAATTTGGTATGTAAAAAACACAGGGAAGTTTCTGAACAGTTAATCTTTAATCTTTTTTCAATTAACCAAACTGATTAGTAAATCTCTGGGCATTTTGTTAATGAGCACAGTTATGTGCTTGGAAAAGACAAGTGATTACCATAAAAATTACGTTTTATGAAGGTTTCTATGCCTTTGATTTACTTGCTGTGTAACCAGGCCTGAAACAGTATGGATATACAGCCACTTTTTTAACTCCCCCTCCTCCCAATTACACACCCTATGCCCTTCTTGCCACTACCACCAGTGGTAGTTTAGAGGCAGATTAGACCCCGTAATCTCATTCAACACTGAGCAATAAGGGCAGAGTTAACAAATCCTCGTCACTACTCACAGTGGACCGTGATGAAGTTGGTGGCTGGGACTGCCAGTGCTGTGCCCCACGGTGTGTTACCAGGGCACTGCAAGGAGCTTGACCCATGTGCTTTTATACCCCTTGGTGCTTGTCAGAACTCCAGAGAGAAAGTTATACTGCTGAAGCACTCACAGAGAGACAATCTAAAGCGAAAGTAGAAGGCATTTAATTGGAAAATGGATTCCTATTCATAATTCAAGAGTCCATCTCTGAAACACACCTGAAATCCTTGTTTCTCTAACCAGGGATTAGCTCAAGGCCTGGATTTCCCAATAAAACTATGCACAGCTGCCTGCTGGGCTTCAGGATCTGAAATAAATGCCACTGACTTTGACAGAATGATTTAACAACTCCAGTGTAGCTGGGAGCACATCTTTTAGGACAAGGCAGCGGTATACCTTTGCCCCGTCTGGGGTCCATGGCCACATCATGCACAAGCCACGGACAGATAGACTTCACCAAATACAGCAGGAGATGCCAATGGCCTGAGTCTGGCACTAAGGCCAAGAGGCATGTGTCCATACCACAAACTTTCTCTCCAAAGGCAGGCAGTCTGATCCAGGCTGGCAAGGAATTTGCACCTGCAAACTGGCACATGGTAAATAATAGTACTTCTTTGCTAGCCCGCAAAACCAATCTTTTTAGGGTTAGTTTCAGACCTGAAGAAAGGCCCACATGCCTGAGTGCTTCCCTGTTTCTTTTCATCCACATCTATATCAATAGGTCTAACATAAGATGCTGCATCTCTCTGCCATGCTGATTTTGCTCTTCATTTTCACCATTCCTCTCCAGCACTTTCGTAATGCCTGCCCTCACATCTGCATCGGTGCAAAGCCATTTGTTAAAGCTTGTATCAAAAGTGCTTGAAAAATACATATTTGCAAAGACCAGATCCACTGACTCCGTTGACCGCTACCTGGTGTTGTGTTCCTCATGGACAACAAGTCGCGTGTCACCAAAGCACAGGAAAGTCGACTTGTGCTGCTTTCATCATCTGCAGTAGGTATTAATGCCTGAAGTGTAGTGCCCAAAGGATTATAGCTAATGCAACACCCAGAAAGCCTCATTAGCACCAATCCTTCATTCTGAGCTTGGCTTTGATTCACACATAGATGTGTTTACTCTTGATTGCATAAATCATTCACAAACATCTCCAGTCAGCCCTGTGGCTCACAGAGCAGGGCTGGATCACAGAGTGTTCTGCCCCAAAGTCACACCAGCACCTTTGGTTTTGCACATACTTATACCAGGTGTGAACTCCACCCTTCCATGTAACTGGGTTACTCCCATTGATTTCTCTATCTCTTCTCCCAGTGACCAAGAGGATGTATAGCCAGAAGAAGACTGGGTGGTGGCAGTCTGAGAGTGCCTTTCATAATGGCAATGGCAGGGTAGTTCAGCAAGACTGTGAACATCCCTGTTTGACAGGTAGGTCAATGGGGTGGCATTCAATGGAAGTATAATTCCCTTGTTGTTTTGCTGAGGAATTATCTTTCTTCTTCTTTTAAAGGTTTTGTTGTCTGTTATTGTTTTTTTTTCCAGGTGCCTGCTACTGTCATGTCACTTTTCTACAGACTAAATAAGTTTACCTGGGAAGGATATATTCCAAAATAGTATTCTGAGCAAAGCTTTCAGTCCCAGGAAATGGTATGAGTGTTGAGCAGCCCGAGTCACTGAAAGTAGACTGAGTTTCTGTCATTTGGGTGAAATCACACAGAATTTCTGCATCAATAGGCTATTGCAGTGTCCAGTCTGTTGCTAGCGACATGCAGAAAGCTTTGCTAGGAACACTCTTCATTAGAGTAGACATTCATACCAAAACAAATCATCCTCCGCCACCTGGGTCTTTTTCTGGTAAAAGGGAAGAAATAATATGTGACAGATGCTGATAACTTTGCTCAGAGTGCTTCTGCAAGATATTCAGATATGGCAAAGCAATGCATGGATTAAAAATCTATCCTTGTCAAAAGAAGCTGGAGGGAAGTCCACTGTTATCATTTATCAATAAGCAGCCCACAGCTGTTTCTTCCTAACTCTGGGTCATATTCTGAAGGCATAGGCTCAACTACTAAGGATTTTAATGACTTATTTTTAGCAGTATAAAACACTGTTAAGGTCACACTGATTTTAGGCAGAAAATAGAAACACATCAGGCACCTTAATGCGTTCAGACCAGCTAATCAACACATCAGCACAGCCAGGATTTTGAATCTCAAATACCTTACTTTGAGCTGCTCACGGGCTGAAAAATTCATAAATCAGAAATGACTAATGGCCATATTCAGCAAATAATTCCTGACAGTGAATGCATTTGAGAAGCCCTCAATCTGTCCATAAGAAGATCAGAAATGATAAGAAGAGGTGACTTTGGTTGCCCTTCCCTGGGGAATTATTTTCTTGTAGGGAAACCCGGTTGTTTGGCTCCCAAGAGTAGCTGGGCAAGCCTGGGTGCAGCTGAGGGCATGCTCTTGGCAATAATAGCACCTGTCCTACACAAACCCTTAGGAAAAAGCTTGCAGAAGCTATAATATTTATTAATAAATAAATATCAGTCATTCCATCTCCTGTGTTGGCTCAATCCATCAGGAAAAGAAACATCTGCTTCTGCAGTGGCTGGCTGATCCATCTGCTGAACTGCGCACGTGGCAGTAACAAAGTGTTGTGAGGTTTTGAAATTACATTTGCTATGAGATTGAAATCGAGCAGACCTGCAGCAATTGCTCTAAAGCTACATACACCCAGCCATCAGCCAGCCACCAGAGCACTGCGGCACGGGCACCCCAAGGTGACTCCAAACCCTCAGGCAAGGTCCCTGCCGGCATAGGAGCTCCCTTTTGGATGTCCAACCCACTCCTCATTCCAAGCAGGCTGGGGGCTGGATTCAGGGCAATAGCCAGCCCAAGGCACCCAGGCTCGGGGAATCAGACAATTGATTTCACCTTTGGGATGATAGCACTGCTCTGATGGACACCAGCCACGCACACACTGAATAACACTGCTCCAAACACGCCAGTTCATTCTCCTGCTTCCTTGGGAGGCCTGTGGGCAGCTGAGACAGAGGAAATACAGCTCTCTGGTCCCTCTAACTGAGGGAAGATCACTCTTTTCCTCCAGGAAAAACGTTGTTAAGAAAGGGTGAAATGGCACAGAGAAGTACAAGGGAAAAGGTAAAAGAAACAGCCCTGCAGAAAACAATCAAAGGAGGAGGAGTGGAGGAAGATGCCCCTTCCTCTCCCAGGCTCCCATGCTCCCTGTCCTGCTGCTCCCTAAAATCACTTAACAGGCAGCAAGTCTTTTATCGGCTCAAAACCAAATCTCACTCGCTCTTTCCCCAGCTTCCCAGAAGGGAAACCTGGAATCTTTCCATCTCTGCCACAGAGGCAGCCCAACACCCAGGAATCCTCCTTACGGCTTCCCCTCCACCCAGAGCAGTGCTGCTGACAGCCCCTGCAAACTGCCACCACCGTATCCCTTCCTAGTGACAGAAAGTGGCTTTTTGTTTATCCACCCACATCCATCTCCCGTGTGAGCGACCGCACATGAGCTAGAGCACAGGTGACAGCGCACGTCTGTCTATAGTAGCCCCAGGACCCCTGCCTCTTCGCACAAGGGAGACTGTATGTACAAGAACACAGGACAGCAAGCAGACAGGACCATGGCACATCCACTGGTGCCACATCTGAGCACATTATTCCATATCAAAGCACACATCAGGCACGCTAACTTTTCCCCCTCCTGCACAGATATGATCAAATTGAGAAGAAGTTGTCTCTTGCCAGCAGATCAGTCCCAGCCAACCACACGGTTCGATGCTGGGCATAGACTTTACTGTCAGATCCTCTCTAATCACCCAAGCTGTTTGCAGGCCCTTTTCTTTCTTCCCTTTTCTTTTTGGGGTTGTTTTGTTCAGGGCTTCACTGCACCGGCAAAGTTCCTCCAGGCTCTTGGGCAAATCACTTACACTGCAGTCAGCACATGCCACAGACACAGGGTTTTCACTGGAGTTCTATGTAATTGCTAGCATTTATCGCTTTAATAGCCTAATGAAGGTGAGATGTAATTAGAAAGGGTGTCAAATGGAATATGGAGTTTGTTTTACAATTACCTATACAGCAGGTAACCACTGGCACAGAACAATGCCTTTTAAAAAGCTGGTAATACTTGGCATAAATGTTCATCACTGGGTGACTTCAAGTGACCCAAAGCCACATTCTGTAATTGCTGCCTTTCTTCCTAAGCACTTGAAAGCAAAGATTGAGCCCCTCCCAAGGCGACTTTTCCAACGGGTGAAGATGGTTTATATTCACACAACTCAGCCTGTGTAACTGTCACCTTAACGTCATTCCCACTTGCAGAGTGCTCAGCAGTGATTTTGCTTGAGTGATTTTTGTCTGTGTAAGCAAACTCAAATGAATGCAACAATAAGAAGAACTCCCAGCAGAAACACGGCCATTGCACAAAAAAAAAGCCTCCAGAAGCTCACACAAAGCCTTCTCATCACACACATCAAATAAAAAAGGGAAAAGATATATATATATAAGTACCACTGAGAATTAGAAGCAGGAATTTGCATTTCTTTCCATTTTACTCAAAGTTTTCATACTCGGGGTGAAGGAATTTTATGCAGTTGGCAGGGTGGCTGACCCTTATTTAAGGCAGAATGCCTTAAAGGCACAAAGAACACTTTTCCTGCTGCTAAATAAATACCAGAGTTTGTTGCTTGATGGATATTTTGCAGTAAAGTAATGATGGCTGATGATGCCATTAGCAGATAACACTGAGTGGGAGATCAGAGATTGACACATGCATAAGCCTCCGGAGTTCAACAATCATGTACGAAGTATGACTCGCCTTAAAGAGCTAATATTGTTTCTGAGTAACAGTGTATAGCTTTAACTTGTATAATCTCTTAAAGGCTGGTCAGATTACTGGAAGAGTGATTAATTGAGAAAAACCAGCCCTTTCCTCTACAGAGCACAAGAATGGACTTTGGTACTTGGCTAACATCATGAGGATGCTCTAATCCCGGTAGTTTTCTCCAGGCATTACAGCTGTAGGATTAATACCCTGTTGTACTGGCATCCTTCTGACATTATCTAAAATGGACTTTAATTGTGCAGAAGGCAAGCAAGAGGTAAAGTTGACAATTGTACCTCAAAAAGTCAGAGACAGTGAAGATTCAGCCTGCAGCTCTAAGAGTTTGGGCTTACCTCAGCCTGGCTGTAACATGAAAGCAGAGGGTCTCGTGCCCGACTGCAAGGTGCTTCCACTAAGTTAAACATGACAGGGCTTCCACGGGCCTTACAGACCAATAACTGGCTCTGCATAGAGTCTTCCTACTGCAGGTGCAGCTATAGATTCTTAAAGCCCTCACAAGATGACAACAAAAGTGTTCCTAACTACTTATCAGATGACACTCCTGTCACCAGTCCACCATGTAACATTTTCACCAGACAGTAGAAAGCATTTGGGTCTTCCAGAATCATTATCCTAATAGCTGTGAACTGAACCCCTTTCTGCTTTATGTGACCAGCTATAAAGGGTCTTGAGTCTGCTTCTTGAAGGCATTCAAATCCCACTTGGGCACATTCCTGTGTAACCTGCTCAGGGTGTCTCTGCCTTGACAGGGGGGTTGGACTAGATGATCTCCAGAGGTCTCTTTCACCCCTAATGATTCTGTATAGTACTTTTGAAGAGTGTGGTCACACTTACCTAAGCATCACTCTCCCTCTTGATACACACTCCCCGCCTGGTCTTCATTTCCCAGCCTTAACAACATGCATATCACTGCCAGGTGGCACTTACTATCATGGTGACACACAAGTTTATAAAGCTCCTTAGAATTCAGTTTGAGGCCTGATTCCAGCTTCTCTTTACTTTGGGTAACCATCTGAAGCTACACAAAGAGGATATGAAAATGACCATTTCAGAGAAGCACCATTTTATACTCACATTGCAGGGTTTTAGGTGCCTTCACAAAGATGAGGTAGCAGCTCAGGTACTCTTTCTTTTGGTCAACCGAACACAGGTTTTCAATATCCTCAGAAGAAACTCTTCCTTCTTGCTTACAGTTATATTGCAGAAGACAATCAGACTTGTCATTTGGGGACCATGTAATTACTTTCTGTGTGGACTTCCCGTACATGAGAATCAGCACAGGTTGCCCCAACAGGTGGGAGTCTGCAGAATTGAGAGCCTGTTCCAATGCAGAGGCCATATAATGACAGTGATGTCTCAGGGAAAGAGATGCTGCTAATTGCAGCAATTAAACAGTAATGATATAATTAATGCAAAAATTATGCATGGCTTAAATCCAAGCTATTGGAGTGCAAGAGGTATTCATCATGCCTAGATGAAAATCATTCCTGTTGAGACGATATCAAATCCGCTTTATGACTTGATCATGGATAATGGTTACAGGTAATTCAGGGAACAGTGACAGACTGTGTTCATCAGAAGAAGTAGCTGATGGCAACAGCAATGAAACACAAAAGGACTTTAAATTTGACTGGGCAAATTGAACACTGAAGGTAAAGCTATCTGAAAGTCTTGCTATAGCAAGACCAGTCAGATCCATGCCCTAGACCAACAGCAGGTATTACGCCCCATATAGACAGGGGCAAAGTCTGGCTTCAGTTCCCAATAAATTCAAATACACATTTTAGTATGTCCCCTTCCAAATGCATGACAAGAAACAGCACCAGAAAAGTCAACTGGTTCACTTTACTTTTCACAAAGCAACTTCACCAAAGCAACCTAATTTTAGGCTGAGAAAGTTGTGGCTGTTCAGCCTGGAGAAGAGAAGACTGCATGGAGACCTCATAGCAGCCTTCCAGTATCTGAAGGGGGGCTATAGGGATGCTGGGGAGGGACTCTTCATTAGGGACTGCAATGATAGGACAAGGGGTAACGGGTTAAAACTTAAACAGGGGAAGTTTAGATTGGATATAAGGAGGAAGTTCATTACTGTAAGGGTGGTGAGGCACTGGAATGGGTTGCCCAGGGAGGTTGTGAATGCTCCATCCCTGGCAGTGTTCAAGGCCAGGTTGGCCAAAGTCTTGAGTGACATGATTTAGTGTGAGGTGTGCCTGCGCATGGCAGGGAGGTTGGAACTGCATGATCTTAAGGTCCTTTCCAACCCTTGCTATTCTATGATTCTATGAAGAGCAGTTTTAAAGAGCAGCATTAAGTCTGTATAGTTACATGTCGCAGCTCCAGTCTAGTGTATTCACAAATCCTTAATTTGAGAAATGAAGGCAATTAATTGAAAGTGAAACTATGAACTTTAAAGAAATTTGTATAATATTGCTTAAACTTCAGAAATTGGGTATTCCCAGGGAGCTGTTAAGTAAGGGTGAAAGTCAATAACAGTCAGTCTGTTCTGTTTGCTCCATGCCTGCCCCACCTCTCAGCTCAGTCTGCTTCTGAATTCTAAAAATCCGCTTTGCCATATCTCAAAGAATCTCCCATCAGAACTGTTAGGTTGAACATATAGCTGAGAAGGCCTCATAAATCACAAAGGGAAGGTTTGCTTTGCCATATTCAAAGCCAGTTGAGGCAGCTCCCAAATGTCAACAGTCACATCGATCAGGTGGCCGTGCCCAGTGACTCTTTCCCACAGTGTGAGGTGTCCCTGCCCATGGCAGGGGGTTGGAACTAGATGGTCTTAAGGTCCTTTCCAACCCTAACTATTCTATGGTTCTATGGTTAAACCAAAGACTGTTGCTGTGATTGACATTTGATTGTGCAGCAATAGAGGAACTGTGAAAGGCTTAGGGCAGTTTGGCTGTGCTATAGCTTGAGAGTATTGTATCTTTGTTGTCCTACAGAAATGCTTTGGATTTGCAAAGCTGGACTGAAAACATGGCCGGCACCAAGCCTTTCCCACAAATGTGGCTTGAAATATTACTACATTAAGTGTTAGTTTACAGGAACTATATTATTTATGCTTCCATGTTGGGTAGCTTAATGTAGCGATAAATAAAACCAGAGTGTTTGCTGTGTATTACCATACATTTTAACTGATTGGTCTTCCTATGGACAAGGACATTGGTCTTGAGAAAAAGAGAAGGACTCTAAGCACCATCTAGGCTGAAAATACACTGTTCATATTAGAAAGCAGCCCAGCTGCTAGCAGAGACTTTTCATGTGTATTTTGTTTGTACCATGGTCCACATGTAATCAATTTTAACCAACACCTCAGTGGGGAACCCAGAATCCTCTCTGGTTTCTCACCAAGTCACTGGGGTGAAGTCAGTAGGGAGTTCTGAAAATCAAAACGAACATGTGTATAGCTTTGTCCTCCAATAGCTTTAAACACTTCAGTTTATTTGCCTCCAGCTAAACATCGAAAGCCCTGAGGTCCAGTAAAGTGGACACAGTATTTGTGTTCATGCAAGCATACAATATATTGGCCATTTGGCTTTATGAAGGTACCTTGTTTGGTGTCTAAACAGGAGTAATATCTTTCCATTTAGACTGTGGAATCTACTGTTTAATAATAAATACACTCCTGACATTGTTAAATGATAGCCTGCTTCTAATAAACCCCCTGCTGATCCGTGTGGTGGTTAGAGTGGGTAATTCATCTTCCTGGGCTGTTAAAACTTTAGCTGCGATTATAGAGACAACATGAATCAGACACGATCAGCGTGTCCCCTGCTGGTCTGCTCATTGTCTGCCCATAACAAAATACTGGCTAGTTTCCTCTTTGTGTTGCAGATCTTATTATTAGTTGATTTCATTATTAATAGCTCCTAAGGCTTGGGATGCTCTTTCAAGGCACGTATGCAAGGGATCCACATGGTCTACAGCAAAGGACCACTCTACATCCATGCTTGTACTTCTCTCGGGCTACTTGGTGTTGAGTTGTAATCCCTTTGTGTTACTGAGTGAAGAGCCTGCAGCCACACTCTTGGCTTCAGAAGAATGAACTGAGTGCTCCAATTTTTTCCTTGATTCGCTACCAGAAAGAAAGAAAAAGAGGGGGTAAACAATAAAATTGTATTACCTTCAAATCTGGCCTCAGTAGCTCCTGAGGATATGGATTTACAAAGTGGATCATAAAAGCCTTCCTTGCCACCATGCCCACTAACATCCCTTGGTCTCACACACTGATAAGGGCTTTATTTGAGTAATTTAAATTAGCTGATAATATGCCAACAAGTAAGCTGCAGGATGCACCAGACAGCCAAGTGCCCTAGAAAGAGCAGCCTCCAAGGAACAACTTCCAACTGCCTGAACAGACCTGGCTTCTCACTCCATCGGGCTTTCACCAGAGGTAAACGGGTTCCCACTGGAATTACTGAGGTTGGCATCAGCCTGCAGGAGCAGGCACGTCATGCCAGGAATACCCAGGCCATGAACAGCTCACCACTGATATCCTCCACAAGCTATCACTGTAAGCCTCTGGAGAGGAGCTCCCCAGGCCCCAGCACAGCCCTGCACACTGGAGCACGCAGGATTTAGAAACTCCTCATTGCTCCACATTAAAACAGATCAAGGCTGACCTTTTAAAACACAGACTGGATGGTGTGTAGTCCCTTTGCATCCATCCATCCATCCATCCATCCATCCATCCATCCATCCATCCATCCACTCACCCACAGCTGCTGCTATTATCACGATGCAAGAAGTTGAAGTCAGGTTAAGGACATGCTCTTTCTCTTCCCCCAGTCCAGTTACTTCTTACAAAATCCCGATGAGGCACCATGAATTTTCTCCTTTGCCTTCCGGATGCATGCGCTCTCTGGCACCTTTTGACAACTACCATCAATTATTGTGATACATGAATATGGGACCTTTCCTTTCCACAGCTGCATACAAGCAAACCAACAGAAGGTTTTCTTTCTGCTGCAGAAGACAACAAGCTCAGCTATGAATGTCACTCTGTCCCTTAGCCCCTGGTCAGCCACGGTGTCTTTCCTGTTGTCTCAGGGACAAGCTGAATTGACATCTCCTGCTAGGAGTCCATCTGCTCCTGTCTGGGGGTAACACTCCTGCCAAGGGAAAACAGCAGTGCAGGACCCACAAAACATACCCAGTCTTGGCACAAGTGGAGCTGGCAGCCTTGTGCTGAGGGAAGAGAGGGGATGACTGCAGACAGGACTGCAAATGCACCTGTATCTCCAGTACCAAAATAGTGTCCTAAACCCTGATACCTCTTAGATATCCTAAAAATTAGATGTTAGCACACATCAGGAAAAGCTAATAAAAAAGATCAAGAGAGATAGGGAGGAAGGGAAGAGGAAGAAAGAAGGGAGGGAAGAAGGAAAGAAAGAAAAGGTGATGGTTTTGTTGTGCTGTGCTTTTTTTCCCCTCTCACTGCTTTTCCCTTTAAAGCATACTGTTTTGTTGTTTTCTGTAGGTTGCCTGCCAAGGTACCTGAACAGACACCAGCTGAGGACTACATTGAAAGGGAAAAATCAGACAGAGGAAGGGAGAAGGAAAATACAAGACACTGAATCTATCCAACGAGAGAAGCAAGCTGCATGCATGACATTCCAGAGCCACCACTTACCAGCTGGCAGCCCAGGTGGAACCTCACAAACCAGCTTGCTGCCTCCTGAAGGCAGCAGGAGCAGCCTGGCATTTTCTTTGCAAGGCAGGTCCCTCAAAGCAAATAAAGCTGTTTCACTTGTCCTAGTAATGTGCTTTGGGTTCCACCACCAGACCTCATGAGTTTCTTTAATATGATTGGGAAATACAGTACACCTGTCCTGAATTAGAGTAGATAGGTTTATCTCATTGCAGAGCCAACTCACAGATGGGTAGAGATCAGATCAGCTGTAAGAAATGCCTTTTATTCTGCAACTTGTTATTCACAGTAAGGTGAAAATGGCTTCAAAGGTGATCCCATACACTCTGAGGGATATCTTCTTTTATCTAATGTAGTTTATACAAGCCAAATTGGGTTTTGCTTCAAACATCTCTCTGCAGAAGAAAATCAATTTCAAGAGAGGATGGCTGTGATCGTTCAAGCTAAGGATCCATTGCAAATATACAAAGTGTTTGGCAATGCAAAGCTGCAGAGACAGGACAAGCAATGCCCATTACCAATATATGTGCTGTGTCCAGATCAAGGTTTCACTTTCAAAGCACTGAATAACCCATTGCCACTCAAACAAGGGTTCTATTAATGGAAGTGAAAACATGCTGTGAGTAGATAAGCAGATTCCTTTTAGCCCTTACAGCATTCCAGGGCAGACAGTCACTGGATCAGTTACCAGTCACAATAAGAAACCTGAGTGTGTTGACCTGAATGCTGACCTGAGGTCCACAGAGGCTCTTTGCACCCTTGGAACAGGCATTTTCATGGTCAGATGATTTGTACCATCCTTGGTTAGTCCCTGGTCTCACCTGAGCCACTGCATCAGCATCAGTGTCGTACCTCCATAGCTTATTGCGTGTCTTGTGAACCCACTGGCAGTGCTCTTCACCAGCTCATGTGTCAGACTGTACTCCCCACCACTGCCAGACCTCCAGGAAAGCTCCCTTTCACTTTAGCTTGTCCACAACCCTTCCCAGATCAACTCCCCAAGGATTAGTAAGGAGGTGAAAGTAGCCTCAGGATGAGGATTAGAAGCACTCTCTCCCAGCACTGCATGTTCTTTTGGTTCTTGTGAAATGATCATTGCTGTGTGTTCTTCTTGTCAGTGGCCTGGGGCAGAGAAGTCCAGTAAAACTCTCAAATAGTGCTGGCATAGCCCAAGAGGATCAGAGCTAATGTCAGTAATACCTTTGGATCAGGTTGTGACTGCATATACACATTGAGTCTGACTGCATTAAGAGAAAACAATCATCTCTGCTAGAGAAAAGAGGCTGGATATCTATGGGGTGATCCAGAAACTGTGCTCAGGATCAGAATTCATGAGAACTGCTCAAAGTGCTTTTAACACTGTTCCATCTAAAACATTACAAATGCAAGAGCAGCGTTACAGTACCAGGATGCTGACCTCCATTAAAATAGGCTCAGGCAGCTTCTCCAACGCTGGGCAAAGGAGGCATGGTACTGTATCTGACTGCTGCAGAGACACAAACGTGAAGACAGGGTAGGAGAGTTGGGCTTGCTCATCCTGGAGAAGGCTCCAGAGAGACCTTGTAGCAGCCTCCCAATGCCTGAAGGGGGCCTAGAGGAAACCTGGAGAAGATTGCTTACTAGGGCATTAAGTGACAGGACAAGGGAGAATGGCTTTAACCTGACAGAGGGGAGGTTTAGATTAGACATAAGGAATAAATTCTTTACATGGGTGAGGGTGCTGAGGCCCTGGCACAGGGTGCCCAGAGAAGCTGTGGCTGCTCCATCCCTGGCAGTGTTCAAGGCCAGGTTGGACGGGGCTTGGAGCAACCTGGTCTAGCGGAAGGCATCCCTGCCCATGGCAGGGGATTGGAACTGAATGAGCTTTAAGGCCCCTTCCAACACAAATCGTTATATGATCCTCTGCACAACAGACATATGGATCATTGTGTATCTCCATGGTCACAGTTAGCTGGGACCAGGTAGTGCATGTTTAATACCTGATAAAAGCAGGGCTGCTCTGAAGGACCAGAGGAGCACTGCAGAGGCATGTGTGTGCTGGTGTGCTCCCATACAAACCTGACCTTTATTTCCTGTAACTCTGCTCAAACGATAACCATCAGTGGTGGTGGTAGCGGATGCCTGAGTTGTGATAGTTGCATCAGACTCAAAGTGGATTTGGGCAGACAGATAACAAGAAAATAGCCAAGGGCTAATGACAGCAACATGCACCCTGCAATAACCATAGTCCCAGTCAAGGTCCAACTCAAGCCAAGTTTAGAGAAAACCCTAATTTCTGTAGTTTATATGCAAACATGACTACAAGTCAATTATCTTACTCCATAAACAGTGGACAGCACACGGCCCATCAAGCTCTCCTGCACAGCAGTGGGCTGCACACGAGGATCTCTCCTTGAGTAGGGACACCTCTCCAGTTTACTCCTTGAGGCTGAGAGATTCCTTGCTGTAACAGATCCTTGGTGAGTGATTATCAGCATGATAAACTTTGAAATCTTAGCTAAGTGACATAAAGGATTGATTGTGCATGTATAATTCTTTAGGCATAAACTGTTGACAAAATCTTAGTCTAAGTCTGGATCTAACCACACAAAGACTCCTTTCTTAGAAGGAGTTTAGAACACAAGGGGGTCCTTTCTGAACCTCACGACTCAACGGGAGGATCTCCTTGACAGTTTTGCCTGACCGTGTCCTCTATGCAGTACATACTCAAGAGGACCTTACCATCAAATCTTGCTAAATCACTGTTGCGTTTACTAACAGACTTTGTTAAATCACTCTTTTATATCAATAAACATATTGCTACCTCTGTCTTCTGAATGAAGTGTGTCATTCCACCTGGGACAGCATTCTCTTTTCAGTAAGTAAACTGAGGATCAGGTGGACTTTGCTTTGGTGCTTTGGTACAAACCTGACCCCGTGGTGTAGCTCTGAGTCACCAGGGCTAAAAGTGCAGCCCATGGCCAGGTCATTCTGCAGAGGGTCCTGCCACAGCGTTAAGGTGCTTTGTGTGTTCCCAGTGTCCTGGCAAAGGACTCCCTACTGTAGCATTGACAACTATTACCCTACAGTGAAAGCAGCCCTCTCCCTTACATAGGGCAAAACTAAGGAATTTTAAAACTAGTATGATTTGTATCGCCTTGACCTTTGGATGGGAGTTTGCTTCTTCCCACTTCTCTCATTTTGAGTGGTGACAACAGGTTAGCCAGGATACTTCTGTCTGCAATCAGCTCACAGCCCAAGGTAAGAAAGCTTGGGTCAGAGAGGCTGCAGGAAAAAGTATCTTTACAATCAGTAAATCTGTTTACACTTCATATCTCTTTTTCACCCTTCTCACCCTAAACACATTCCTACTGATGCACAGACTCCAAAGCCTTGCAACCTGGGAACAGTCCTGATTTTGCAATGTCATTCATTACATCTATCTGGTTGCATACAAGCTTTCAATGCTCCTTTGCCTCTTTTTCCTCCATAGTTTGTTGGGTTTACAATTGAATTTAACCCTGTATAGTAGCAGCATCCTGTCTGGACACTTTTTCATGTAAATCACACACAAAATGAGAGACATCACTCATGACGGACACTCGATAGATTACTTGACCAGCACTTAGGCAAGACCCAGCCTTGAAACTCAGTCATGTTTTCTTTTGTACATTACAATCAAGCAGCTTGGATTCCCTCAGTGCCCAGGTAATACCAGAGAAAACAAAACAGCCCCCTACATCACAACAGCAGCATTCTTACCTGCAAATGTATATGTTGCTTTTCGCCAGCTCTAAGCTAAAACGCAGCTCAACTCAAACTTAATTAGACTCAGTTGGAGAAGTAGTAGCTTGTAACAGGTTTTTATTCTTACAGGGTTCTGAAGGCACTTCCAGTGAGTAACAGAACAGTGGACATACGGAAAACATCCATAAATCTGAGATAATTCCACTGGATTTCAGCCCTTATGTCTCAATGTAAGCTGGACATCCATACAAGGCTTTCCTTAAACTCTTCAGCCACCTAAAGCAGCTGTGTCATATTAAAACTGGAGCTGGACTGATCATTCAGAATGAATTTAGCCAGAACATAAATGAGCTACAGTTTCTTCTGCTGTTTATGTGTAACCTGCTTGATTTTGCTTCCTTTACCACTTCTACGAACAATTCTAGCCCATAGCTTTTCACTAAAGCTTGTAAGATTTGATATTTCAGCAGCACAGGTCTTACTGCACAGCTGTGATCAGCATCCAAGCCATGAAGAATACCAGCCTGTTACACTATGGACCCTAGTTGGCTTAGGCAGCTAAGCCCCTACCCACTCCCTGCCAAACAGGAAGGAGGAAAGAATCAGAAGGGCAAAAGTAAGGAAAACATAAAGACAGTTTAATAAATGAAGGAAAAGGAAAGAAAACAAAACCCCAAACCCCAGCCCTAGCCTACTGTCTGGGGCATTAGACTGAGAGATGGAGAAGGCCTTGACATTGTGAAAGCAAAGCAGTAACTAAGACATTGTGTAATATCAAGACTGTTTTGGTCACCAGTCTAAAACACAGCACTGTACAGGATGCTATGAGGAAAATTAACTTGATCTGGACCAGGTCCTGCACAGACAGATAAGGGTCCATGGAGCTGACTCCAGAGACTGCCAGCCCATTGCCAGTCCAGTACTGCTGGCATTGCACACACCAAAAACTAATTCTTGGCTTTCCCTCTGTTCAAAACATTCAGTCTTCACTAAAAGTTTGGGAATCTGAGGCAGGGAAATGAAGCAAGCTATCCCAAGTTATTCCTTGAAATAGAAGAAGGGGTTAACACTCAGGGCTGGTGTTTGTCTTGAACCATAGTCCCCCCAGCCCCATTTTCCTCTTGCATCAATGGACAACCAAAGATCTTTGAATTCAGTTTCTACCTCTTTACTACAAAATTACTACGTTGGAATGTTGTAAACTGAGGTTCCAGTCACTGATGCTTTGTGTTGCTGTCTTATACTACTGTGCTCTTACAGGAAGATGAGCATAAAATACGTGGAAATCACATAAGCAGCAAGGTAGACTTCCCCAGCCCAACTAGAACCAGATAGATTTGTTTCAAACAGAGCATGGATCTCCTTTGGGAGGGAAGGGGAAGGCTAAGGTGCATTTTGGTTTTGGGGGTTTCTTTTGCATAGCCTTGGTTGGCTTTTTAAAAGTTCTAGCCCTGAGTTTCCTGTTCTGAACCTAATTTTCCCAAGGCACAAGAAGTGACATCTGGAATTCATAAAGGATGTCACAAAGCTCAACAGCCAGGATTAGAACCATATTTTCTACTATCTTTTTCCTTCAAGTCAGTGCAAAATGTTACCAAAAAGCATTACTACCAAATGACACCAGGGCTTAAGAGGTATAGGCACAGGAGCCCATCTAGATACACCTGTCAATGTCATGTATATCTGCACGGCATGAAAATAGATGTCTAGGCAAATAACAGATCCAAAGCAAAAAAGGTTCATATGTCTCCAGTGTATTTTAGTGTGTGAAATAAAAGTATGATTCGGCTTTCAGCAGCAGTTAACCTTCCCCCTGCCGTGATGCAAGGTCTCTTTGCAGGGATGATAAGCAGATCTCCTAAATGCTATATTGGGGCTAACTCTGGAGACTGCAGGTCCATTGCCTGCTTATATAAAGCTTCCCAGGAGTCAGGCTGATACCTTCAATCTTCTCCAAAACCACGGCTGATCCAT